TGCGATTTTGCAATAGCAACGTAGTCTCAAGTACTGTGAACTGTACATGAATGAACACGACCCTCGACCTCAGGGTGATAACGGGTGATAAGGCGTGACGTCACGTGCGCGCGCGCCGATACTTGACGTCCAAATCTTGCTGGTTATCATAGACCCGGTCACAGACAAGCCTCCGTTGTCTATGTACGATTGCCTTGTGCAGTCTTAGTACTTTAGCACTTAAGTTTATCTTGAAACACAAAAGATAAGGGGAAGAAAGGCATTAAAACATTACTGTTAGCCTAAAACAATTGATGCCTATGAGTAGTAACTTATTCGTAATCTGTGCCTATGACGACAATGTCTGATGCCTATGACAGCTGGTGAGTCCTTGGTATAAAATTAACTATGACAGCCAATGCTGCGAGGATTCTTCTTCTCATCTATGGCTATTGTGTTTTTCCACGTTTGCCAATGTCATGTGAGCATAGCCATTAACACGGTAGATGAAATATAAAGCGAGGATTCTTAAGCTCGCCAGTTTCTGATTAATTTGCAATAGTCATGATCCTGCAGATCCTGCTGCCATCTTAGCCCGAAGCGACCTGTCAATCAACCTAGATAAACTTATTTCCAAAAGTAAAAAACAAACATTTTATTTGCGCCATAATTAGGAAAATGGCGTCGCGCAGAAGATCCAGTCATTTGCCATTATTCTATCGCAGTTTTTTCTTCTTCTTTTTTTATGTGGCCAGCCCCCTTAGACAAAACGCACTTTTTCAACACAAAAATCGAATCCGTCAAAACTCCATACAAAAAAGGGGCTTTGCGACCACTTTTCGACTGGTTTGCGATTATAATTTGCTTTTGCACTTTGTCTAGACCCACAGGTCCATCACAGTTTCATTTACATTTAATAAGACTGGATTGCACCATCCTACTTTAATTATAACAAACGTCAAAAATCTGTCAAACCCCATACAAAATACACCGGTTATCGTTATACTCGTAGTCACGGTTAAAGGTGGTGCAACTCAGCCCAAGAAAGTGATGCTAATTTTCCTCTTCTACAACATTATATGGCATAATTCAATCGCCAGCGTCCTTCTGGCAAACAGTCCAATTAATTAATAATTTGCTTGCACAATGCCACCATTATCTGTGGGAAGTGTCGTGTCGTTTTCCTTGTCCTGTGTTTGATGTTCTTGTGTGATGCGGCAATGATATTGCGTACGCAACTCTGCAATGGATGGACTTTTTTTCTTTAGGACTTTATATTTTCTTTAATATTGCAAAGATTTCGATTTGGATTGCCAATGTTTTTTGTTCATTTTTACAGTTTTTTTTCTTTTTAGTTCAAAATTTCAACATATCTTGAATTGAAACATTTCTCAGCAAATTATTACCCAAAAACATTCCTGTATATAGGGGGAGGAGGGTTTCGTGCCAGGAGTTTGGGCTACTGATTCGAAGATTAAGTTTAATATACGCCAATGCTGCCACATTCCTTACTTCTAACATTTTTTAATCTAAAGAATTTTCGATTACCTATCTAAGTATGTATAATTTTCCGAATGATCGCGGATAGCATGGGGACAAGCCTCACACCACTGCTGCTTTTTTTTATCCACAGCGAGGAAGCTCTTGGCCTGTATCTCACCTGATGGTAAGATGATCAGGCCGAAGGTGGAAGCGAGCTTCACCCATACTCTCTCCCATCTTCTGGAAGAGAGTGAACAGTCCATCATGATTAGATAGATCTGGTGATACTGACAAGTAACATGCCTTCCTTCATTCTCTTTCAACTCTAAAATGGCCACTGATAAGGTCTTCCTTAAGGATTATTTCTGATAGAAGGTATATTCTTGCGCTACCCGCATTTATACGCATACCTAAGAGAGTAATATCTATACTAGTCTATACTAATATTATAATATTTCATTAATATAATATAATATATCATTTATAAATGCGAAAGTAACTCTGTCTGTCTGTCACGCTTTCACGCTTAAACCACTGAACCGATTTTGATGAAATTTGGCATAGAGATAGTTCATAGTAAAGTACCGGGAAAGGACATAGGATATTCCATTCCCGTTTTTGAAACAGGGACGCGCGATAAAGTTTTTCTGTAACAGACAAAATTCCACGCGGGCGATGCCGCGGACGGAAAGCTAGTCTATCTATGTATGTCTTAGAAACAAATCAATCAAGTCCGTTCTTGACCGATCCCGCGAATTGGCCCAATCACCATCAATTGTCCCAATGAGCTTTCCCCTTCAATCGATTGCTTCCAATCGGTGCCCATCAGCCAACTTTTTGTGATGCTCAATTGTTTTGCACAGCTCCAACTACTGGAGCTATTTTTGGCATAGCGCCAGACGCCAATTTGTTGGTCTGAAAACTGATTGACTTTTGAACTCGGTGCTTTAAGTTTGACGGATTGGTGTGACGTAGAGCTTTAAATAGGCTGGTCTGTCTACCTAAGAGTCCCCGCAGACTTTTTATCGGCCCATAGTTTGGTCGGCATTTGATTTTTATAAATCGGTGTAATGTGCGTCAACCAAATTATATGCCGCCTCTTTAATTATGGGATGGACTCCACCAGTCAATTTCTGAAAGTCAAGATACTTAGGTATTTTTGTGAGCTGTCAAAACGCTGCATCTCCACAAAATTTAGAAATAGTACCACCACCGTTACGTAGGTACTACGTACTTTGTCTACACTAATATTATAAAGAGGAAAACTTTGTTTGTTTGTTTGGTTGTAATGAATAGGCTCAAAAACTACTGGACCGTTTTTAGAAATTCTTTCACCATTCGAAAGCTACGTTATCCACGAGTAACATAGGCTAAATTTTATTTTGGAAAAAAATAGGGTTCCGTAAAATATGTAGATAATGTAGTCCATGCGCGTGAAGCTAGTAAGTTTTATTTTTCAAAGTTAAAAAACCGCAAATTAGGTGTGAATAAGTGCCCACTAAGTTAATATACAAACCACAAAAAAAAAATTATCACAAAAAAAAAATAAACTCAAATCACTGGGCTAGCCCGCATTTGTTTTATCAAGTACCTATAAATAATTATCAGTCAGACAAAAACTATTGTTTGAGATCCAGAGCCGTACATTTTTCGCAAACTTAGTGATAAAGCACTAACATAAACTATTGAGTGTAAAGATAAAACATTTGTGAATTATGTTGATTACAATATTATCAAGTACATAGTTAGGTCCAGTTCTTCAGTTCACAGAGGGTTTTCAATAGTTAAGAAAAGAATAGAATAGAATAGAATAGAATAATAACTGTATATAAAATAAAATGACTTTATAAATATTTATTTTACTAAATCTGGGTTGCATGCACCGTCTTATTTTAACTTTGAGAAACGTCAAAAATCTTTCAAAATCCATACAGAAACACCTGTTAACGTCATTGTTACTGGCAAAGTTAAGTGGTGCAACTCGGCCTTAGTATTACGACAGTTAACAAAAAAACTAGACTCATTTATTAAAACTTCAATTCAGAAAATTGTGTTATTCCTGAAAAAAACATGAAAAAAGTTGGAGAAAATTTCCCTATAATTCAAAACGTAGTAAACTTTCTATAACTTTATTTATTTATCGTTAAAACTTCTAACATAATTAAGTAATTGGAAATTAATGAAATATTTTCTACTGAATTAAAATTGGCTGAAGTTCACTGACATGCAGTAAAATAAACACGAGCTTCGTTGTTTCAATTTTGTCTGTGAACTCTGACCCAATCTCAAATCAAGATTTCATTAATTAAAAATTGTTATTCATTAAAAATATGAGATAACTTTAAAAAAAGATATAAAAAGTACCTACCTAATTGATCAGTAAAAGTAATTTTTGAGTTAGTGGTGATAGATTCTTCCTACTTAGTGGAGCAAGAGAAAAAATCACATAATCTACTACTACTAGGAAGTAGGTATGTGGGTAGGTAATTTGATAAAAAGGAAACACAAAAAAAAATTGTATTGTGAATAAGAAAAAGTTCAAATACGTTGTAAATATTTTTATGTCTTATTGGTTGTCCTAATTTATACAAATAAAATAAAATAAGCCGTGTGGTGACGGCAGAGTAGAATACATTTGTCACCAACCCCTACTCTTCCCGCGGGTGTCGTAAGAGGCGACTTAGGGACTACACATCAAACAGAGAATGGGCAGCAGCGCTCTCTGAAAAACATCAATCTTTTAAACTGCGATCTCCAACCCGCCTGCCAAGCGTGGAGATTATGGCAAAACCCTCCACTATAGTGGAGGAGGCTCATAGTCCAGCAGTGGACTGTAAAGGGCTGTTGATGAAAATAAAATAAATGAGCTTCTCTTCCGAAGTTACTGAGTTTCTTGCGCTGTTTCTTCTCAGCACTGGTCCATTTATAACTGTAGTAGTAGGGTTAAGACGTGTAAAGGCTCTTTTTAAAAACCTATTTACACAAAATAAATTACTTTTAAAGTCGATAATCTTAATTGTAATTGTACTTGTGTCTGTTTTAGTTGTCCTAACGGTACTATTCCCACCTCTCGTTCCCACCACTGCAACTCCTGTGTAGCCAGGATCTACAGCTTGACCGCCACAAAAACCCAACCAATGAAGGTCAAGTTTGTCCCGGGGGAAAGTTAAACTGTCATTGGACCCGCAACGAAATTAATCAGAAGAAAATAGGAGGAGTTCGAAATTAAGGTTCGACTTCCCTCCATTGCAAAGCGGATGACAGGTGACAGTTGTCCTAAATAAATAAAATAAAATAAAAATTAGAAAAAGAAAAAAAAGAACTTGGCCAACGAATTAGTTTGGCCATTCAGCGCGGATATGCAGCCAGCATTCTGGGCCCCATGTCGCGTTGTTTGGACAACGATTTAGGACACAATAATATTTTTTATTTGAAAATATTTAGTTTATGTAGTTCATAAATATATTAATTTTATCGCTTATGATAACTAAATAAAAAAAATGTTAAAAATACAAAATAAATAATTTTTAAAAGCTCACCGTTTCCACATCCATGACCCAGTAGGGTCATCAGGAACCCGGCAAGGATCACGCACTTCATCGCACTGTCGGTCACTCGCGGTCACACGTGCTCCTCGTGCGACGATCGGGGCGCGACTGGCCTGTCCCGGCTCTCGCGACTCCTGCGCCGCTTCGGCACAGTGGACGAAGATGACGTAGGCTCAGATTATCCCTAGATGAATGACATCACAAAAACTCATCTACACTACGAGTATTTCGTTCTTTCAATAGAGATATAGAGAGATGCCAACTAAGGCGCCGAGTTCGAAACTCAGTGTCGCATTAGAAATTCACGCACATAAAGTAATCAAAATATGTGCTCATTATCCACTGCGGTATCAGTACTCAACGTTCGAATAATCTTTATTACTACGCAAGCAATGTAGACTGTTTACATTATGACGTAGGTGCGAAATATGTTCCGTTTTTGGGCATATTGCTGCGACACCGGCCACGCCCCCTTGTCACATCTCCCTTTAGTTGCTGTGATCTGTGGTTCTTTCGTTCGCTGGTTTCAGAAAATGACGTCCACTACTGGACAAAGGCCTCCCCCAAGGATTTTCACAACTACCAGACCTGCACTGCCCGCATCCAGATACTTCCCGTAGCATTTACCAAATCTTCTACGTCTTAAGGCCCGTGGTCGCCACTGGGTGATCTCAACTCGAGATCTTATGCAGAACCTTTGTTCTATCCTGCCTGCTATCTTTATAGCAGGAGAAAATTAAAATTCCAAGAAATTACAACTGTTTTAAAATTCTAATCAACTAAAATTATCCTACATCATGACAGTACCTCTCCTTTTCTAAGATGATGGTAAGAGGCTTCATCAGTCGTCGGTCGTACCATAACCAGCCGGGCTAGGATGCGCGCTGTGATATACTTTATCGACGTCACCATGTATGGGCAAAATCGATAAAACGGCGTGATAACCGCTTATCGCGGCGCACATCCCAGGCCTACGGCTACAGGTACGGTTATAATATCACAAGAGAAGTAAACAAGCTATCTATACTTCTATACTAATAATATAAATGCGAGAGTAACTCTGTCTGTCTGTCTGTCCTTCTTTCACGCCTAAACCACTGAACCGATTTTGATGAAATTTGGCATAAAGATAGTTTGAGTCCCGGGAAAGGACATAGAATAGTTTTTATCCCGGTTTTTGAAACAGGGACTTGCGCGATAAAGGTTTTTTTTTGCGACAGACAAAATTCCACAAGGGCGAAGCCGCGGGCGGAAAGCTAGTATTTTATAACTCAAAGGTGACTCACTGACTGCCTGACATAATGATCTATCAACGCACAGCCCAAACCACTGGACGGATCGGGCTAAAATTTGGCATGCAGCATATAGTATTCAATAAAGTTCTATTGTATTTGCTGAACCTACTACATTTGCCTTAGTTATAGTGGCTTCGCTCTCTGACATCCACCCGCAGCCAGCAGACGGTCTTTTAATTTCACCGATGACTTTCTTGCAAAGTAAGTATATTCGCATGGTAAAACATTTACTTTGTGAATTTCTCTGAAAAATGTTGCTACCTGCTTTATACACCTCTAACAACAATATGAAGGTAGTTACTCCAGCTATCTTGGTGTTAAGTCTGTCTTTCTTTCTAGCAGCCATTCTACTTCTGCATGAGCAGTTGCTTGTGAAGGTAACTTTCCACTTTCCCCCAGGACAAACTTGACCTTCACTGGTTGGGTTTTTATAGACGGTCAAGCTGTAGATCCTGGCTACACAGGAGTTGCAGCGGTGGGAGCGAGAGGTGGGAAATAGTCCCGATAACTAGAATGTGCAGAATCTTTGTAACCTAGCTCCTTGTCTTTGCATCGGTATAAAATCGGTGTAAACAAATTTTTATAAGGAAATCCATACAAGGATAATACAGACAGAATACGAAATTGTTTTTTTGAAACACTTTAGGTAATATTTGGCCACAAGTTTTTGACTATTGGGTTTGGGGAAAATGTAAAAACAGACTTTAAAAGCTATTTTATGACTCAACTAGTACCTACCTACCTAGGTTACGAGAGACGAGTCTATCCATACGAGACTTAGAAACCTGTATATTGAATATTCAATTTCAAAGATTATTTTATTTATCATCTGCTCACAACTCACAAATGATGATGCAGTCGTTCTTATCTGATCGGGTCATGTGTACTATAATCACTTTAATTTTATTTAATTCATAATTGCAATAATTACCACTGACATGTTTTGCAGCATGGTCTTTCAAAAAGACCTTGTAGTCGTAGGATATACTTAAACCTACAATTATTTTCCCTGCGAAACACAAATAATATATCTAACTAAAGTCATTTAACTTCAAGTTAAACGAGGATATCGAGTCATGATATTTAGGCTGGGTTGCAACATCTTACCTTAACTTTAACAAACGTTAAAAATATTTTATTTATTATTTTATTTATTTTTTCACCAACTTTAACCAACTTTACAGGTCAATAACCTAATGCGATAGCATAAATTATTTTGTAGGCAGGTACACTGTATCTACTTACACTAACTACTTAAAACTAACAATAAAAAGTGCGGCTCTTACGAATTCACTCAGAGAACAATTAAACGGGTCTACTACTTCCGCTATTTCATTGAGACGTCTTGTGGCGCGAGTGAGCGGCGCCTCCGCCAGCAGAGCCGTGCGCGCGCGCGGCACAGCCAGCAGGCGCGGGCGGCGACGGCGCTCCACATAGCGATCCGGCACATTTAGGTATACCGTTCCCAGCAATTCCGGGTTATGTATCTTACCTTTCAGCAACTTGAAAAAGTCAACCAGCAACGCAACATCCCTCCTCACCCTTAATTCGTTATATCCCACCATACCCAGGATGAATAAGGTGGGATACTTCAATGGGTAAAATGGGTACACCCCATATCGTCTCAGATACAAATATCTTACGAACTTGTTTTGTATCTTTTCCAGCATGATGCTATACTTAGCTTCGTGCGGGGCCCAGATCACAGAGTTGCATTCTAGATGGCTTCTAACTAAGGCATTGTACAGGGTCACTATTGCGGTGACATTCTTAAAACCGTGAGCTTTACGCAGGATAAAACCTAAGTTCCGATACGCTTTCTTACAGATTGACGTTATATGGGTTTTGAAGGTAAGATTGGATGTGAATTGTACGCCTAGATCTCTCACTTCATTCACCCTGACAACCGTGGTTCCTGCTACCTTGTAAGTGTTGAGGAGGGGGCTGCGTGTGCGTGTAAAAGATATGGTTAAACACTTGGAGGTGTTAAACTTCAACCCATTGTTCTCGCTCCACGCCACTACCCTGTCAATGTCCCTTTGCATTTTCTCTTTGTCATCTGGGCTCCTAATCTCACGATAGAGTTTCAAGTCATCTGCAAACAGCAAGCACTTGGAATCCTTTACCACCGTCGGCAGATCGTTCACCATTAAAATGAATTCAAAAGGCCCAAGATTACTGCCCTGACTTACCCCCGATCTTGTAAAATAGGGTTCTGAGGTGAAACCGGCATATTCCACATACTGCTGCCTATCCCCCATATAACTGGCAAACAGCTGTAACAACCGCGGAGTAAACCCTACGCTCGCTAACTTTTTAAGAAGCACTTCATTATCGACCAGGTCGAAGGCTTTTTTGTAATCAAAGTAAGCGGCGTCCACTTGCACCCCACTGTCCACAGCTGGAATTATATCCGCCATATAATTAAGTAGGTTGCTGGTCGTACTTCGCGCTGGTCGAAAACCGTGTTGCGCGTCTGTTAGTTGTGCGCTTACCTGGGAGTATAGACCTTTATGTATGGCTGACTCGAATACTTTTGAATATGTCAAAGTCTATACAAAAAACACCGGTATCGTTATAGTTACGGTTAAAATTAGGTGGTGCAACTCAGCCTTAGTAAATTCTGAGAGAAAAGAAAACAAAACTGAAGAAAAACGAATCCAATGCCACTTAAATTTTCCAATTTAGGACTACCCTTTGCTGGTAAAGTCAAAGTCAAAATGTGTTTATTGCATTTCTTATAAATTACATAGTCTGGGGTTCAAACTATAGATCCTGACTACATAGGAGTTGCAGCATTAAGAACGAGAGGCGGGAAAGTCAAGTAGGTACACTATCTACGGTTTTCCCAAAACTTTGTAAAAATAATCAGCCCGTGTGAAGCCTGGACAAGTCACTAGTATAAGAAACCACCCAAGCAAAACCTCCTTAACGATAAACAAGAAAAATAATGAAAGCTTAAAGCATTTATGCCGTTGCCAGGCCGAATGAGGTATTTGAAAAATCGAAGAAACTTTTTAACGCAGCCAAACTCGCAGGAATCTGGGGACGCATTAAAGATACGGGTAAGCGCGAATCACATTAAAACATGGGGTTCCGTATGAAAAACATCTTTAATTATACTTACAGGGAAAAGTGTGTGATAATCAGTAAAAGCCTTAAGTAAGTAGTTAGTTACTTTCCAAAGCTTGGAATCATCCTTTTCTGCATGTAGAAGTTTTACGAGTAGGTACTTCTTTCTCGGGTTTAATAAGTATTGTCTCGTTTATTTATGTAACTTTTAATTTATGCCATAATTGGTACCTACTCGTACATACTTAATGCTAAATTAATGCCATAAAGGCATTCTCTGCCAGTTTACCTTCGGGCTAAACTAAGCTCGTTCGTAACTAAGTATTAAGTATTTAACAGTAGAAGGTACAAAACTAAGTTAATTTTTATACGGGTTTCAGATCAAGAGCTAATCCACTAAGTTAGTTTAGCTTAACTGGCATATCTTACGCAGTTTTCCATATTTGTATAGTTTGCAGTTTGCACACAACTATGAAAAAGCTTTGCGATCTAAGCTAAACAAATTAAGCTTAGTTCTTAGTCTGCAACCCGCATTAAACCCAACGGAACCCTAAAATCAAGTCAGGGTTATGCTACATAACGCTGCGCGCGCGCCGCCAAAGGCGCATTCTAACTGGCGATTTTACGACCCTTTGCCCGTGGAATGTCATCGATTTAAAAATAGAATTCGCATTTCTTTTTTTCACCGGCCGAGTGGCCAGTTGCTAAGGCTGGTTTTGTTTCTTTTTGGTGCTGGGCGCCTATTCTCGAAGAATTTTCGAATCTTATGCTCTGTCTTACGTCATATTTCGAAAATAAGAAGTTCTACAAATAAGTATCTAAACAAAATAATCACCAAATAGGTGTGAATTAGAATATACAGGGTGTAATTTTCTGTTCAAACAAAAAGAGTTGATTCTATTAATTACTGAAATTCAACTGCTTCTTCTTTAAATTGTAAATAAGTAAGTAATGAGCCCTCAACTTTCTAATAATTAAACACAAATACTTTGATAAAACCTACCTAACTAAGGGAATATAGTTAAACAAGAAATACATAATGTACGAGTATGATTTCTTTATTCTTGCAAATATAAAGAAATCTTCGAAACTCAAAATGTTAATAGCTATTCCTAGAATCAGACCCCTCACGGCCATCATTTAGGAAGTCGCCTTATTGGTTTGTTTGCCTGCCTAGAAATAACCCGGTCTAGAAATAGCCGGGCTAATTATAGGAGATCGTCGGCCTGCGGGTCGTTTGTCCTGATAATGGCGAAAATAGGATTCGCGTGCCAATATAAGATAATGCATTATCTGAACGTATAAATAGCATCTTGATTGACAGACAACGCACAGGCAAAACCAGATTTACCTAGAATAAGTAAATGCTGCAAGCTGAAGTGGCAATGGGCAGGGCACATAGTAAGCAGAACTGACGGCCGATGGGGCAGCAAGGTTCTGGAGTGGAGGCAGCGTACCGGAAAACGCAGCGTGGGATGTCCACCCCCAAGGTGGACCGACGACATCATAAAGGTAGCAGGAAGACGCTGGACGCAGGCCGGTACCAACCGGGAAACATAGAAAGCATTGGGGGAGGCCTTTTTTCAGCAGTGAACGTCCTATGGCTGAGATTATGATGATGAAGTAAATACCTACTTAAAGCCAAAGCAGTATTTTAACATAGTAAAGGACCTGGGAATATAGTAATGTTGCGTCCAGATTGGGCGAATTTGCTCGCGCGGCACGCTGGTCATCCTGCTCACTCTGCTCTTGAGTGAGCAGGATGTTGAGTTTGCCGCGCGAGCAAATTCGCCCAGTCTGGACGCACCATTAGGATCATGCTCATTTCAGCTACAAGACGTGATCCCCCAATGATTTCCAGATAGATCGGTTGGTAGAGCGGCCTGCATCCAGCGCCTTCCTACTACTTGCAGGTGGATGTCCTACGCTGCGCTTGCTGATAAAGATCAGGCGACTCTTTTACCCAGCGAGCTGGAATGGTTGACACTTTGAGGTTTCAAAAGTTGAATTTAAGGATATCCCAACATTGAAAAGGCTTGGAACCTTTTTTTTTTTCAAATTCAAATAGTTTATTCAGTACATAAGCCCTTTCCAGGGCACTTTGGCTTGGCTATAAGCATGATTATAGCCTTATTATTTTAGCCACACAGCCGTGTCCTCTGTTGAAAAAGCCTCCCAAAGTGATTGGCCGATTAGAAGTTGCCAGTGAAGTGAAGTACAAAATTATTTCAGCTACTTATACAGTATATTTTTTGGAGGACCGATAAGGGTCGAAGTTTATTGAGAGGAGGAGACCACGTCTTGAAATACGTAGTCTGTAGAGAAATAACCAGAACTTAATACTCGTAGTAGCCCACAGTACAGCTAGGCGCAAGCCTCAGGTCAGGAGGAATAAGTGTGGAACACAGGAGAGGAAATAAACAACTTGAAAAAATCGAACTGCCTAAGGCGGGAATCAAACTCACGATTAAATTAGTTTATTTCATTTAGCAACAGCCGGTTACCTTTTCAAGCTTTTATCTGAGTACCTACAGCATTTAACATATTATATATATTTTTTATTAATAAAATGCGAGAACTAAGTAAGTAACATTTAGTAACACAAAACTTACAAATCACCTTAAAATGTTATTAGCAGTGAGTCAGGGCGGATGAGAGATACAAGTCCGGAACCGAACCCGCGTTATCCGTGGGAACTTCCTCGCCACTGCGCTATCGGGGTTACGAAATGGGAGGATCGCCGGCTTTCTACTATTCAAACTACACATGATATCATCTGACGAGAGACATGGAACGCATGGTTCGCTCTGGTGGTGACGTCATATCTTATTCGATTTTTATACACATCGAGGAAGATCTTGGTTGGCCTGCATCTCACCTGATAGAAAGTGATGAACAGGCCGAGTGGAAGCGAGCTTCACCCGGAATCCTCAACCACAGAGGAGTTCCTCTGCCAGTTGGCTATCTTACCTATAACTGTTGGAACAGAAAAATGCTGTTAACATTGTTGTTATGGCGACAGACTTAATAGGTAGCTAGCTAGTCAGGCGACTTAAAACAAGTCTACCAATATTTGGTAAGTACCTACTGAAGTGGTGATTCTGACTGACTCTGAGTTCTTGCTAACCGTTAAAATGACCAGGGAATTATAACTAAGTATTCTAATTCAGTCGTCTTCTTCAGTCGAGTAGGTGCCTACTTAGTTTATTTGTATCAATTGAGCTCACAACTAGCCCGACGGATTAAGTAGCAAGCTGAATTGGCAATGGGCAGGGCACATAGTACACAGAACTGACGGCCGATGGGGCAGCAAGGTTCTGGAATGGAGGCCGCGTACCGGAAAACGTAGCGTGAGACGTCCACCCACAAGGAGGACCGACGTCATCATAAAGGTAGCAGGGAAGCGCTGGACGCAGGCCGCTACTAATCGATCAACATGGAAAGCATTGGGGGAGGCCTATATTCAGCAGTGGACGTCCTATGGCTGAAATGATGATGATGATTATGATGATGAGCTCACAACTCTAGTGTCCTCCTTTTTAACCGACTGCGCCAGAAGGAACCCTCCTTGTTAAATCTACAAAAAAACATGCTGTAACTTTGTAAAGTCTTTTCACTGCGTTGTTAGTCCACATCCGCCGATCGATCGCAATCGATACAGCCATTTAAGTAGTGTAATTTTCTTTGTTATTGACCAAGTAAGTAAGTACGTCGTTTAAGTATAATTTTCTCACGGCAGATTGACTATTATGCAGGAAAATCTGTTTTTCTGCTGTTTCAGAGATAGCACTGAATAGTTAATGCAAAATGCTGTATTTATCAATGATGTAGGTACATGTTTATTGTTATGTTTGTTGTTATTGTGCAAATAAATATTTGAATTTGAATTTGAATTTATTATGTAAATTAATATGATATCGCGTCATCAGCATTAACAAAAACAATTGTTGACGAATGTTGAATTAAGCAGAATTTTATACTTAAACACAATAAACATTTATGACTATGACTATGACTATGACTATGACTACCATAATTTAATAAATAATTTCTACATCAATGCCCCCGATTCGAACCCGCAACCGCGAGCGCGTAACCATTGAGTCATGACGCCACCATCATCGTTCATATGATGATGTAATTCGGCGTATGTAAGAGTAGGCGCACACCTTTGATTTTTCGTCGGACGATAGTTTAGTCGGGCTGTTGATCAGTATGGGCATGTATGGGAGTGCGCACACTACGCCGATTCGATTTGGCCCATTCTTCATAACAATTTGAAATCGTGGCACAACTATCGGCCAACTAAAAATCAACGGTGTGCGCCTACTCTACGAGTTTTCTTAAATTTTATTGTTAAAAAGTCGTAGGGTATCAGTATAATAAGTACCTATAGGTATATCTCTTACAAAAACTGTTATAAACGTATACTAGTTTAATCTAATTTAATATTAAATTAGAGGAAAGTTGTTTGTCAGAAAACGCTATGAAATTCGTGATCTAAGTATTGAAAATTCAAAATAATAGCGTTAAAACAACTATTACTCAAATCGGAACATAGAATTAAATGTGCGCTGCTTATAACGGACCGAGCACATCTTGCTGTCAAATTGACAGCCATGTTCTTTTTTGTGATTTTTTGCTATTTTTATCAATTTTTCATGAAAAATCTTGTGTTTTAGTGAATTTCTTAAAAAGCTGATCACCATAAAGCTATCATGATGACATTTTGATTAGAGGAACACAACCAATGTTTACGAATACCAGCAGAAAATCATGCAAAATCTTTAATTAGCAGGTTTTTCGTTTGAATAAGAATTTTTCAGTCAACATGGAGGAAGGAAACTCGATTATCTACGGTCTGGAGCACCAGGTATACCACACATCTCCTATATTTAAAATAAAACTTCGCCTCGTCTCTCGACGACTCGTCATCAACTTGATTTTCTTGTTTTCAGACTAGAGCTCTGTCTCCTCAGTACGAGAGCGATGCCATTAGGTTCCTGATAGGAACGCAGAGTCTTAAGCCGCAGTCCAACCAGGTCCACGTTGTGGAATTAGAGGAAGACACTGGTGCTTTACACACGAAGGTATTTCTTTCAATTTCGACTCTGAATCTATCAAGCTTTTGAAAATCATCTTCATAAACTACTCTTTGTAGCTTGTAATACCTGTGCAATTCCAGATTATATCTATTTCTCAGTTAACCATGATAGTTTGACTGTTTTACTTCTTCTCAAGTCCCAATATTAATAATACTAAAGCTAGAATAAAACAGATATTAGAATGTGCAACAACTGTCTTGTGCAAGATAGCAACATGTTCTTTTAACTAGCGCCCTGAATAAATTGAGTCAATTGCTTAATTTTTCCACTTTGTTTAACATTAACACTTTAACATTTGTATGCCAACAAAGCTGATCACGGCTTGAACACATCTTTTGTTTGTACATCATACTCCTTACCTGTGTTTCACAAATAAATTATTTGAATTTGAATTTGTTGGGTTACAGGTCTTCAAGCATGATATTGGAGAGATCTGGCATCTCCGCTGCTCTCCACACGACGTGGCCACGCTGCTTACAACACATAACGCGTACGACCCCAACACGTCACAATGTACTATGGGTGTGTCAATCTACAAGCTCCCTACTGTTGAGGTATTGAAGATAAATAACGCCCATATTCTAAAACGATACTTGCTTAAGTGAAACAGCAAATCGAACGCACAGCGTTGAATAGAGCTCTGTGATTGGTTCGTGTGTCACTCTATGCATCCACACACACTGTGAGACCTCATAGTAATGTTTGTGAATATGGGCGTAAATGTATTTCTAGATGAAATTAAATTCATAAACTCTGTTCTGTTGTAAGTTCCTGAAGAAAGTAGTAGTTTCTGATGCATCCAAGTTAGCTTGGGAACCAGTGCTGCAGTGGTGCAACTGTGTAAAGCAATTGTATTCATTTGACAGTTCAAAACATACGTTATATTCTCAACCATGTTCTCAACATATTTTATCGTACATTTTGAACTGTCAAATGAATAAATTATTGCTTTACACACAATGAGGATCAGTACTGTTGTAGAAAATTCAATAAAACTAGTATCTACGTTAATCATTAAGACATAAGAAAGATATATCTTTTTGAATTATCCAAATCGGACCATTACTTACGAAGATATTAAGTAATAAACATAGGCCGTTTTTGCCGCTAAAAGTCAACGTACGCAGGGCCGCGTGACGTCATTATATCCGAATCGAGCGCAGCCGGCGTACTATTGGGATGGAAAATATTTTTTTCCAGCTAAACCATCAGTTTTAGAAAAAAACTTTTAATAACATTTATTCATCAAAATAAAGTAACCTATCGACCAGTAATTTTAAAAAATAAAAATTGTGAAAATTAAGTATCGCTATGTCCAAAAACCACATTTTCATAGGATTCGATGCAATGCGGAGACGCGGTTGGGGTGAGTGTAACTTAATGATTGTTTGTATTGAACATAATAATACATAATATGATGCAAATACCCAGTATACCTTATTGTTAGAAGTAAATAAATTAATACTTATACATTTTTATATTTTACTTGGAAGAAGATATGACTCTAACAACACTTATGAACACTTTATTTGAATAAATCGCCAAATATACCACCGCGGAGACCCCAATCGCGTCTCTGCGTTCCATTGAATCGTATGAGCGTATGGATTTTTCGCGTTATTTTTCACAATTTCTATTTTTAAAATTACCTATCGATAGCTTACTTTATTCTGATGAATATATGTCATTACAAGTTTTTCTCTCAAACTGATAGTTTGGCTAGAAAAAAATATTTTCTATCCACGCAGTACGCCGGCAGCGTTCGGATCGGATACAGTGACGTCAACGGTCCCGCGCCGGGCGGTCAGTGAACTTTTTTAGTAATTTGGCCATAACTTCGTCAATTTTTGTCGTAGAACAAAAATTTTTGGACTGTGTATTAAGGATTTCTTAGCCCTATAAATCTGCATTCACAGCTAAAAATCGAAATGATCCTCATTGCACATCTGATATGCAAAGCATCAGGGGGTGACAACAGTCGCGCAGATTAGTACACACTGGTGCATCTGCATGGCAAGGACGGTCATGATATTATGCCATGATACAGGGTGTGCTATTGGTATCATCATCATTCGTACTTATTGGTAACCCCAAAATCCTGAGGGGCACCAACAAACCATTAGGGGGTGCCTATGGACTTATGACCGGGGTATCGCCCCGGGTGCCAATCCATGCTACTTCTTTTTTAATTTTAATTTTGTAGTAATCATGTTCTTTACCAGGTAATACCAAAGGATCTGGATGACTTAAGTGCAATACAGGGAAGAAATGCTGAGGACATGGAACTGTTGCTCACTATCACTCCAGAGGTATGTATCATTTATTAAAAGTATATAACAATATAAATATATAAATAGTGTTTACTAAACTACATAATTATTTAAACTTAATATTTTTATATCAAATTATGGTTGCCATTTTGGTTCAACCTTATTTTGTTAAACAAAACACAATTTTATGTGATCCAAATAAACAATTTTTCTTTATTTCTTTTTGATTATTTTTTAATTGCTCCAGTGCCCCAAAGTTTGGCCACTGAAAATTATCAGCAACCATGAGCGGTATTTACCTGTAAGGTCACATCTTTTGGTCTTGACATCATTGCATGCATTACTTGTTTTTGTAAAGATGTGTTGGTGGTAGATCTTTGTCAATAAATAATAATAATAATGAGTTGGGAACGTTTATGGTATACGTTTTTAAACGAAAATGTAACAAAAACTAGCAAATACACGATCTTCTCTTCCACCCAGAAACCGGAGGAAGAGATCCGTTGTGCAGAATGGCATCCTACCGACCCAACGCGGGTAGGCGTAGTTTTTGAGGCACGCGTGGCCGTGCATGACGTCACGACCGGCGCGGCGGCGGCGGCGGCGGGCTCCGGTGCGCGTGCTAACTACCACGCCGGGAAGTGGAACCCACACCAGGGACATAGCCAGGTGAGATAGACACATACAATAAAATAAATAAAATAAAAAAGTCCCAGTCGATGAAGCACCTGATGTCGTGCCCTGAGTGCCCGAGCAACTGCACTCAGGATTTGATGAGTGCTGCTTACAACACCACTCTTGTGGCAGAGTTTTGGGCTGACACTGTTTAGGCTTTATTTTATTTGATTCAATAAGTATACATACAGGTTACAGTCATTTACATATCAAAATACATAAACAAAATGAACAGTGTCTAGACTCCAACCTACAAGTAGCGTACATTTAAGTTACGATGATTTCATTTAAGTTGCACAATTAATAAACACATACAAAATGCTCAAAAGACACAACCCTATAAACTGTGTTAAAAAAAAGAAAAAAGGAAAAAGTTATCAATTATTTTTTGTATTATTATGAATATTTATATTTAAAACTGTGTCAATGCTTCTGCGAAACGAGTGTAATTTTTGTTGAAATATATCAAATTCCGGATTCTCCGTCGCCACGAAAAGAAGCTTGTTGTCGACTCGAAAAGAAGAAGGCCAAGGCTCCGCTCTTAGACACTCACGGACTAAATGAGGTAGGTATGTAAATAGTGATGTAAGAAGCAACAAAAGTAGGCGTGGTGTTTGAAGCGCGCGTGGTTGTGCATGACGTCACGACCGGCGCGGCGGCGGTGGCTGGTGCTGGTACGCGTGCTAACTACCACGCCGGGAAGTGGAACCCACACCAGGGACATAGCCAGGTGAGTTTTTTTTTTCCATTTATTTGGGACAAAAAAACAGTCTTACAATGGGTCTTAGTCTAGAATTACACTTATCTATCTAAACTATTGTATGACCAACAGCAATGTCCACATATTACATTATAAATATTTTATTGAGAGCTTAGGTTTAGGGTAATTAAGTTTATACATCATTTCTTAAAAGTTATAAAGTAAGCAACTAAGTAGGTACCTATACAATTCAAACAATACCGCGCACAAAGCGCAGCAGCCAGTCATCAGTGTAATTTAAAAAACAAAACAAAAAATGAAAAAAAGGCCATCTGGCCCAGGGGAAGGGCACTCTGCTTTGACTCACAAGGGGGGGAAGTCTGCCTAAGGGAGGAAGGGTGTCTAGTCTGGACTGGGCAAATCAGTGTGTTTAAGCAGCATCCACCAGCTATTAGATATTTAAGGACAAAATATAGAGTAGGTAGGTATAGGCGCGGGCGCACGTGCTAACTACCATGCTGGGAAGTGGAACCCACACCAGGGACATAGCCAGGTAAGATAGACACATATAAACCAGTCCACTTACTTTAGCCACGTGTTATCCGTTCGCTTTAAGTTTGCCGCTGGCGATATGACGTCACTCGAAGGGAAGCGGCTATAACTAGGTACCTATAACACATTATATTTAAAAAAATATTTATTAATATTGATAAAAGAATAAGAATAATAAGAATAAAAATACTTTATTCAGCATAGAAAAATAAAATAAAAATACAGTACATATAACATTAAACTACAAGCTATGCTGAAGAGGCGTCCGCTCAGCTATATTCGCGACATAACAAGCGCCATGTCGAGATGCTGGTTTTCAGCGGGAACCAACACGATGAAGATTGCGGCTTGCGCGCCCTCTTGACCTTGTTAAAAAATGTGTATTTACGTAAAATAACACATAATTGCGTTTAATCGCGGTTGGGGGCTCCGGCGCACGTGCTAACTACCACGCCGGAAAATGGAACCCACACCAAGGACATAGCCAGGTAAGATAGACACATACAATAAAATAAATAAAATAAAAAAGTCCCAGCCGATGAAGCACCTGATGTCGTGCCCTGAGTGCCCAAGCAACTGCACTCAGGAGGATTTGATGAGTGCTGCTGACAACGCCACTCTTGTGGCGGAGTTTTGGGCTGACACTGTTTAGGCTTTATTTTATTTTATTCAATAAGTACGCATACAGGTTACAGTCATTTACATATCAAAATACATAAACAAAATGAACAGTGTCTAGACTCCAACCTACTAGTAGCGTACATTTAAGTTACGATGATTTCATTTACGTTGCACAATTAATAAACACATACAAAATGCTCAAAAGACACAACCCTATAAACTGTGTTAAAAAAAAAAGAAAAAAGGAAAAAGTTATCAATTATTTTTTGTATTATTATGAATATTTATATTTAAAACTGTGTCAATGCTTCTGCGAAACGAGTGTAATTTTTGTTGAAATATATCAAATTCCGGATTCTCCATCGCCACGAAAAGAAGCTTGTTGTCGACACGAAAAGAAGAAGGCCAAGGCTCCGCTCTTAGACACTCACGGACTAAATGAGGTAGGTATGTAAATAGTGATGTAAGAAGCAACAAAAGTAGGCGTGGTCTTCGAAGCGCGCGTGGCCGTGCATGACGTACCACGCTGGAAAGTGGAACCCACACCAGGGACATAGCCAGGTGACTTCAGATCCAAGGAAGCACTCTGCCCCAGGGAAAGGAGATATAGCCAGTTTCTAAGCCAGGGAGGGGCATTGTGGCCCAAAGGGGGTAATCTGGCCTAGATGGTGGGTAGTCTGGCTTAGGTGATGAGGAGTCTGGCCCAAGGCTGGAGGAGGGAAGTACAACTGGAGGAGTAGTGTTGTTTGGCCTAGAGGGAGAGGTAAATCACAAAGAAAAAAGATGTATCATTTAATTTTCCAGGGGGCTGCGCTCCCCTGCCCCTCCTCAGTTATGCTCATACGTTAATTCCCACAGAAGAACAGTCTGGCCCATGGAAGGTATATGGGCCAGACTTCCCCCATGTTAGATCAATCTGACCCCTGAAGACGTCTCGCCCAGAGTGCCCAGTGGGAAAGACGGGCTGGTCGGTTTTAGTATGTAATGGAATCTAAGAATCTGAATAACACACACTTCTAATTTTTGTATCATCATGAAACTTGGAAATTATACATTATGTACATTACAGTTGCCGCGAATACTCGCTATTATTCGGTATTCGGCATTACTCGACATTTTTTTGATATTCGTCGAATACCGAATAATAGCTAGTATTATTCGGCATTCGGCGAATAGTCGTCTAAAATAAACTTTTAGTGAACAAAAAACTAATGAGTTAAAAATAATCATATTCTTATTATTTTCCCTAATAAAACAATGCACAATATCAATTATTTTATTTGTAATAAATTAAGTATTCATCAAGTCTTTAATTCAATAGCAATTTTCAAATAACTATAGTAGTAAAAAATAAATAAACGTCAAACAATGTCGAAAATCAAATAACAAATGCGTGCCGCCTATCCTAAATACAAGCGTATTGATTAAGCGGGAAATCCCCTACAATACTAAACGCTGGGTTACAAAACGGGGGTCTTCCCCGTAAACTATGTACAAGAAAAGGGTTGCCAGATTTTAAAATGGAAAATTAAATTTACTACATATACTCAACATCAAATAAACCGCACCTTCCGCGACGCAAACTTTAAAGATTTTCTTTTGACACAATATTGGTGTTATTTGAAAGCCCAATAAATTTAAAGAAAAACACATTTAATTTCTTAATAAACGATTAACATAAATTATACCATAAATGTGACTTGAAAAAAGACCTCACTTGAGGCTCACCTCTGCGATCAATTAGACCAATTTTTATGGTTATAAAACCAAATAATGATCTCACGTGTTCTCTTTAACAGATGGATAGCGATTAATCCCAACTTAACAGTTTTATAGCCATAAAAGTTGGCTCAAGCGTAACTACCTACTTTTTGAAGAAGTGACTCTGGATCCTTCTAAAGACACATTTTTGGAGTAAAAACTTTTCCTTTAATGAAACGAAGTTTAAAACTAGGCTTTTAAATTGTGCCAATATTGGTGGGAAGTGGGGATGCTTACGTTTGAAAGTGCTTGTCGCGGGAGGTGCGATTTATTTGATGTCGAGTGTTTAATTATGTAGGTATGTATAACATGAAACAGATTCCTTTAACTTTATTGTTTTCTTTTCTCACAACCTTAGAAGAAATTAGAAATAATTTTAATGTTTTTATGTCGAATAGTAATGTCGAGTTATTCGACTATTCGCCAAAGGGAATGGCGATTAATCGGTATTCGACTATTCGCTATAACCACTATTCGCGGCAACTCTAATGTACATTAGATGATAATACAATATTATGGAACCATCGAGCTGGTCTGATGATAGGACTGGAAGGTGGCCATAGGAACTCCTAAACGAAACGGCGGAAACGCATCGAGTTTAGGTTTATTGGATTTGTCTTTTCGAGCACTTAAATGCTAGATGATTTACGCCCGTATTCACAAACATTACAGTGCGCGTGGACGCATAGGGTGAGACATGAACCAATCTCTTCAACGCCCTATTCAACGCCGTGCGTTCGATTTGCTGCTTCTTAAGCAAACATCGTTTGTGAATACGGGCGTTAGTGCAGTAATTAAAAGCGTCTTCTTCTTCTTCTTGTAGGTTTGTTGTCGACACGACAAGAAGAAGAAGAAGATAAACTTTTCTATGTTTCCAGTTCGCGGTGCTCCAAGACATGCACGTGAAGTGCTACGACACGCGCGCGGACGGCGCGCGGCCCGCCTGGGCCATCGACCACGCGCACCGACAGCTGGCAAGGGACTTGGACTTCAACCCCAACAGGTAATAGTCAACCTAATGGCGCAAATTCACTACTCGATACCGCACGCGGCATGCGGGAGATTTCTGGAACGCATGCCACAGGGTCCGCATTCGGGGAACCGTTTTCATTCGTCGATAGGGTCCGCATGCGGAGTGCGAGAGATTTCTGGAACGCGTGCCACAGGGCCCGCAATCTGGGTGCGAAGTTTACTAAAAAATAGAAACAGGCATGGCGCGTCAGAAAATCTGAATGATGAATTTTATTGGTCGATAGCACGGTCGGTATAATGCATGCGGGAAATCCCCGCAGGCGTTGTACCGAACGCGTATCGACTAATGAAAATGCGCCATTATACATATTGCTTTAGAGTGCATTTTGTTTCAAATTAAAATACCTTTTTTGTGGGTCTCTTTAGTGGTCCTTTTGTGGGTCTTTAGTGGTCCTTTTGTGGGTCTTTAGTGGTCCTTCCGTGGGCCTTTAGTGGTCCGTCCATGGGCCTTTAGTGGTCCGTCCATGAGCCTTTAGTGGTCGATCCATGGGCCTTTAGTGGTCGGTCCATGAGCCTTTAGTGGTTGGTCCATGGGCCTTTAGTGGTCGGTCCATGAGCCTTTAGTGGTCGGTCCATGGGCCTTTAGTGGTCGGTCCATGAGCCTTTAGTGGTCGGTCCATGGGCCTTTAGTGGTTCTTTCATAGCCCGTTAGTGGTCCTACCGTGGGCCAACCTCAACAGGCGACTATCACCATTATTGACATAGGATTAGAGTGCATTTTCCAGGGCCGTTTAATGGCCTTTCGATGGGAGTGGTCCTTCCGTGGGCTTTTAATACAAGACACAATATGCGCGTGAAGTTACGACATACGTATAATCTGTAGCAGCTGATTTATTTAACATTTTTGTTAAATTCACATTTTTTATTGCATATTAGGTGTTATTCTTGATGCAAGCCTATCCTAAATTCTCCAATGGTTTTACAGACAATTCCACTTAGCAACGGCGGGTGACGACGCAGCGCTCAATATTTGGGACTACCGGAACGGAAAGGAGCCCATATTCAGCAGGACTGATCATTCTCACTGGTGAGTGCTACTAATATATTTTAACTAGGAGTATGTAAAAAAACACTGTTCAATCCAAACCTACGTTCGTATCTTTCGTTTGCCGAGTGGCTGGAAACAACACAAACTGGTGAAAATTTTCAGAAGTGTTTTTCAGCAGTATTCCAGATTACAAAATTATTTTTTTGTCCGTCTAACACAATACAAGTAAATATTGCGTAGAATTAGATAAGTTACGTGTATTGTGTGAAATTTTGCAGCGCTTTGTCTTATACAGGGTGTTGGTGTCTCTCCTCTAATAGATACTGTATGGTTAGTTTTAAGTTATTATTAAGTACCTAGAATAAGTTATGCTATCGCATCTTTCTATTTTCAATTAAAAAAGTGGTTGATCGAGCAGGCGTTCTATAAAATTGACGAACTGTTTGGAATTTAATGATTATTGACACTGTTTACCCACTATTTATTCGACATTTAATTGACATTAATTCTATTTGTATTATTAATTTATTTGGACATGATTTGTATTTCTTTCTTATTGATACTGCAATCGACTATTATTAATGAGAAAATGTATTGAAAATTTGACATGTAATGAATATTATAAATAAATGTCTTATTCGTATGCATTACGTGCCTGTAATGATGGTGTAAACGTGTGAAAATTAAAAAAAAAACCTTCTTTTTATTATACACAGGGTGTGGACAGTCCGCTACAACACGTACCACGAGCAGTTACTGCTAACAGGCAGTTCAGATGCTCGCGCGCTACTCACCGCCGCTGCTGCCGTATGCAAAGACCCGGATGACGACACTCCTGGGCCCGTGTAAGTTTCATCATCATCATTTCAGCCACAGGACGTCCACTGCTGAACATAGGCCTCCCCCAATGACTTCCACATCGCACGGTTGGTTGCGGCCTGCATCCAGCGCCTTCCGTGTAAGTTTACCTAACCCTAAACCATGTGATCCTATCAGTATACACTGTGCTCTCTTCAGTGAACCCTGTGCTCCCCTCAGTAAGACCTGTGACCCTATCAAAGAAAGAATATACTTAAATAAATAAATATCCTTAGACATTTTACACTGCGCTTCTAGTCCCAAACTAAGCAAAGCTTGTACTATGGGTACTAGACAACGGATATAAACATACTTAAATACTTTTTTTTTTGTAAATACATACTTATTATACACAGAAAACACCCAGTCCAATACAAACAAATATGTTTATGCACACAAATGTTTGTACTGTGCGGGAATCGAACCCGCTACCTCCGGAATAGTAGTCCGTTTCGAACCAAATGGCCGACATCTCAGTTATCTCAGTTAACTTTGCTGTTTTCAGTAAATACTGTGCCCTATTCTGTAAACTATGATCCCATGAGTTAGGTCTGTGCTCCTCACAGTAAAGACCTGTGATTCTATCAGGAAACCCTATGCTCCCCTCAGTGAACGTTGTACTTTTCTCAGTGAACGTTGTACTTTTCTCAGTGAACGTTGTACTTTTCTCAGTGAACGTTGTACTTTTCTCAGTGAACTCTGTTCTCCCTCGTTGAATCCTGTGTTCTCCTCAGTAAACCCTGTGTTCCCCTCAGTTAATTTGTGGCCTCATCAGTGAACACTATCTCCTATGATCCCGATCTTTGTTTATTTAACTTTTTTGTCCACGGACCCCTTAGAAATCGAGCACAATAAGGACCCCTTAATAAAAAAGCAGAAATATTTAATATTGTTATATGGTCCATAGATAAGGCTGCACAGGGTTAAGTAAGAAACACTGATATAGACTTACTTTTCTTATTCCATGTAGGCTGGAAGACGGCGTGCTCCAATCATATGAACAGCACGAGGACTCTGTATACGCTTGCGAATGGAGCGCCGCGGAGCCCTGGACTTTCGCCTCGTTAAGCTACGACGCGCGTCTCGTGCTGTCGCGCGTGCCAAGACACTTCAAGTACAAGCTGCTGCTGTGATGACGTCACACTGTGCTGCGGTGACGTCACGGAGTGTAGGGCGCGAGTGGAGCGCCGCAGAGCCCTGGATCGTCGCCTTCGAAGAGCTCCGACTTGCAACTCGTGCTGTCGCGCGTGCCAAGGCACTTCAAGTACAAGCTGCTGCTGTGATGACGTCACACCGTGCTACGATGACGTCACCCTGCTGCTGTGATGACGTAAGACTGCTGCTGTGAAGATGTCACGCTGCTGCTATGATGATGTCATAACGCTGCTGTGCAGACGTCACGCCGCTGCTGTGATGCCGTCACACTGTGCTGCGGTGACGTCACGGAGTGCAGCGTGCCGCGGAGCCCTGGACCTTCGCCTACGAGCTACGACTTGCAACTCGTGCTGTTGCGAGTGCCCTCCCACTTCATCACGCCGTTGGTAGTTTGATACTCGTAACATTCCTTTATACAGTGTGTTTGGGATAGGGCTAGCGATTAAGTTAAGGCGGTTATTATGTCAATTTTGTCGACAAAAATCCCCCTCATCTTGAAATGAGGGAAGGGTTAATTTTTTAATTTATTTTTATGTAAAAAATTGTATTTCTTATGTGCCCGTCTTACAGATAAATAAAAAATACATTGTACCCAAACACACTGTAGATGGCTACCGTGTATTTCGGAACTGGTGGGGCAGTTCCGAAAATATTATAGCAAAATTATAAAAAAATCTAAATATTTATCATTATAATTTATTTTATGTATTGTTGTGTATGTTATTGTACTTCTAAGAAATAAAAGTATTAATATGATCTATAAATTATTTTTATATGATGTCCTATTTAAAATTTAACACGACTCCGCGATTCGAAACTACAGAACGACACAACAAGGTCAACTGCCCAACTGTCAGTGTTGCCATTCGAAAATATTGACAAAGTTGCAACACTTAAAAATAAAAGCCGCAGAAACCATTTAGAATATTTATTAAATAATGCACATTCTACAATATGTTAGTACTCCACTAGATGCAGTCGGAATACTTGGGCAACTTGTTCTTGAAGAGGGTCCCGGAGTCTCGTGACGTGTAGCCCTCTGTGTATTCGAACGCTGGGTGGCTGGAGATCACCTGAAAATGGAAAAAATAAGTCAATTTAAAAATAAATACAGTTTCGTATCAAAAAAGTTTCCTACAACCTCAAAAGATTTAAGAGGCATAATTAAACTCGTAGTACAAACATAATCCAAAGATAGTGGTATCTAAATCTAATATTTGATTGATATCGATTTATGTTAATCGATTACTGGGCAACAGGTTAGTTCTCCTAGGCGTCATCGGCGCTAGATACGATTGGGGACGGATGGACCTTTATCGAATATTTCGACCTTATTCAGCAACATATGGGTTTCCTCCCACCGCTTCTACTTACCTAGTCGCGCTTGTAGAGAATCGATTATTCCGGTATCACCAGAGATAAAACCTACTTTGACTGCGGATTAGCTCGTAGACAATCGATTATTTAGCATCATTAGAGTAGGCGCACACCGTTGATTTTTCGTCGGCCGATAGTTTAGTCGGGCAGTTGATCAGTATGGGCATGTATGGGAGTGCGCACACTACGCCGATTCGATTTGGTCGATTCTTCATACAATTTAAAATCGGGCACAACGACCGGCCAACTAAAAATCAACGGTGTGCGCCTACTCTAACTGCGGGTTTTCTCACCTTATCGCGCTCATAAGCGTCCTCAGCACTAGTGATGAGCTCAGGGACATCGGTCCGCGGGATCGCAAACAAATTCATGAGCAGATGCTTGTTGTTGGTGTACAGCATTCGCTTGTCTGAGTACTCCACCTCGCGCGGGAAGCGCCAGTCCTTCATCTTGGGGTCTTAGTGGCATCGATTGATTGACAATCGAGCAACTAATGCGAGTAAAAGCTAGTTCTAGTATTGAGCAACTAACGCGAGTAAAAGCTAGTTCCGTAGCCCAGAGAATTATTACTTGGGACATGATCGATTATTCGGCAACACCTACTTTTACTATGAATGCATTTGCTCCCACCGTTTCTGATTATTAGTTGTTTCGCATCACTAGCAGGCGAAACCTACTTTTTGTGGATTTGCTCGTAGATAGTAGATTATTTGGCATCACTAGTGGGCAAAATCTACTTTGACTGCGAGTTTTCTCACCTTATCGCGCTCGTAAGCGTCCTCAGCGCTAGTGATGAGCTCAGGGACATCGGTCCGCGGGATCGCAAACAAATTCATGAGCAGATGCTTGTTGTTGGTGTACAGCATGCGCTTGTCTGAGTACTCCACCTCGCGCGGGAAGCGCCAGTCCTTCATCTTGGGGTCTTCGCGCTCGGTGTACTTGTCGAAGTCTAGGCGCTCAATGTCCTCGATTACCTGTGTTGAAAAGGATATACATTAGCGATAAAGGGAAGCCACACGGTGGGTGGCGGATTTATAGTTTTGCCGCCCGTAGGCTAGGGTGGGGTTGGATCCTTATTTAACTTTTATCTTCTGAAATTGAGTAAGCGTCATCTGAAATCTGCCGCCCCTAGGACGCTGCCGCCCCTAGGCCGCGGCCTAATTCAAATTCAAATTCAATTGCGGCGCCGCTTACCACATTTATACAGTGATAGATGCGGCAAAATGTTTTGTGGCTTCTCAAACTGCTCTTTCTATCAAAATGTCTTCATGACGCCACTCTTGTGTCCACAAGTTGACACACTACAAGAAGTAGCGACAAAGTCGGTAATGATAATGAAAATCAGATATACAGTAGTAATTAGAAAGATGTTCGCGTAACGCGTTAGACTCGCGCGCACTAGACTGCGCGAGTTTTAGGTAAAGCCTTAAATGTGCGAAAATTTAAAATGTAAAAATAACAGGAAATCAGAATTGCTTTGCCGTAGTCAGGTAAAAAAACAAAATAACAGTTTCTGAATAATTTTCTTTGTAAACACTCAAACACTTCTGTATCATGTGATGTGAGACTAGATTTATGAAAACGTCAACTCACCACATCAACCTCGCCACCACCGCTCCAGTCGTACACCAGGAGCTCAGCATGGGTTGAGATGTCTCGCAGATACTTGCTCTTGTATTGCTTCTCCACTTCCGTGAGGAACTTAGGAGTGAGGGCCTTACCACGCACTTCGTGTTCCAAGTTACGTTGCTTGATCGCTTTCACCACCTGTAATTAATATGGATACTAATACATAGAAAGAAGTACCTAATTACAATGTAATTAAACTTGTGATAAAAATGTATTTTTTGCGGCTATCCAGTAAACTATATTCTGCTCTAACATGAATTTAGGCCCATTCTGTGCTTCAGTTAAATCAATCACAATGAGGGTTTTCGCGAATGAAGGATCCGCTAGATGGCGGGACGTGGATGTGGGGTCAGACTGCTGCGTGATTGGTGGATTTTGACATATCTGTCAATGTCATGTCAAAAATAAACAATCATGCAGCATTTGGACCTCGTGTCTACGTATTGCCATCTGGCGGATTTTTCAATCGCGAAAACCCTCATTGATTAACTATTGTATCTTGATTCGTGAGGCTTGAAGGGTTGAAAACATTTATGCTTTGAGACGAACAATGAAGAAATATTATTATGTATGTAACTATTTCTTCGTTGTTAGATACCTATCAAACAACAAAATGGCAAGGCCCAAAAGGCAAAAGAAACGTAGGACGGCCGAAGAAAAGATGGGCCGATGACATAACAAACAAGGCAGGGAAAAATTGGATGCACATAGCCAGCGACAGGGAAAGGTGGAAAAAGATGGAGGAGGCTTTTACCCAAGTGGGGCCACAAACAAGAGATATAGATTAATTGAATCAAACTGTAAAAATGTGGAATACAAAGCTATAATAAATAAATAAATAAACTATTTCTTCATAGTCAATTAATACTTACACCATCAACAGGCAGGTCCAAATAGATCACAAGGTGAGGCCTCAGCAACTCCTCAATCGTCGCGTTCCTCAGCTCATAGTACACAGACTTCACCCCTTTGCTGATGTAGTTCTGTGAGAGCATCGCTTCCAAGAACACGAAGTCAGAGTACGGCGACCTCTCCAGAACAACACCTTGGCCAGTGTTAAATAAGTGGGCCAAAGCGTCAATGTACTGGCTGTATCGAGCGCTGTACGTCATTATCTGGAAGTTACCCGCCAAACGGTGGTTCGGACACTGGTTGAAGTTAACGTGGTCGAAAGTTCTACAGTCTTCTGGTATTTGATCATCGAACATGCGCAAGTCACAACCGTTAGGCCGTTTGTAGTGGTGGTCCATGTTCGCTTCCTTGAAGTGCTTCATGCCGAGGTCTTCAGCCAGAGCTGCAGCGAACTCCGTCTTACCGACGGCCACGGGGCCCTCGACGACGATGACCTTCGAGTTGTCATCGAATCGGTGAGTGGTGCGGTCGAAAAGACTCCTCAACCAAGTGTAGTCCTTATTCTCATAGTCAAAAGGCGCAGGCTTCGGCGGCGGCGGGGGCAGCGAGTCCCTGAGGGCTTTCCCAGCGATTCCTCGGTGCTGCACGAAGGTGCAAGCCGCTATTTTGCCTCCTTGAGCAGGACCTAGGACCTTAACCACTGCGGTCTTTACCAACGTAGCCATGGTGGCCAGAGGTATCAGCCACTAGCAAGACACCTACAAAAAATGAAAGCTGTAATTATCTTTCTTTAGGAACTGGAATTTCAGGGAATTGTAGCGTTTCTTACCCCAATTTTAGATCAAAACAAAATCTTCAGAGAAATTGTGACATAACCATTCCACTTGGTATCGTTCAGAAACAACGTCAATTATTATTTAAAAAAAAAATTATTAAACTAAAAAAAGAAAATGTTAACTAAATCATTGTATGCGCATATTCTTAACATAAAAAAATAGTATTTTTCGTAATAATTATGTTTGTGTACTTCATTTACATGAAAAGAAAATTGTATTTATTCTACAAAAGTAATTTAGATTTTCAGATTTTTGAACGCAAACATATGACGATTTGACAGTAACTGACAGATGTATTCTTTTTAATCTGTGGTGTGAACGTGTGTACCATGAAGCTACAGATAAAAATGGAGGGCAAAGTTGGGAACAAAACTTGAGTCAAATACCTACTTATATCTATCTCGCTCTCTGTGGCCCTACCTCTCTTTTTAGTGTGAACTGTAGTATTGCTATCTTCTTATTTAAATCTCCTTGTAAATTCTTCGAAATAGCCAATTCACTAACCAAATAAGAAGTTAAATAAATAAATAATTAATATTTGAAACTTAGATTACCTAGTTAAATAAAAAATCACAAAATTGTCGGCCATTTAGGCTTAATGTGTTGGCGAATCAGGGAATTACAATCCCAATTTCTGAGGTATCGGTAATGTGGCAACATCGGCCGAATCCGGCCCATCATGGCGGTTGTTTACTATGCAGTTGATTTCGTTTGAGATTTTTCAAGGGACCTTATCATTGTTTTGTCTGAAGAAATGGTGCAAAATTGTATAGTGCGTGGTTGCGGTAGTTCGTGTTGTCCTGGAAGTGATATAAAATTCCACGCGTAAGTGTTTATTTCGTGATTTCTGACAGTGGATCATTGTTAACATATTTCTTTGTATTTTCACAGTAATTACTTCCTAAAACGTTTTACCAGTATTTAAACTTATTATTAAATGTTACATATGTCAAGAAAAAGAAGATTTTACATTGAGTTTCATTGACTTTGAGCAAATTTAAAATTTTTGTTTCTATAAGACATTTTGAAGTAGTATGACCATATTGAGGATATATCTGGGACTTTCTGTGGGACCTTACTTATCTAATTTTGCATAATGTTTTCTACGGCCGTTTACTGTAATCAATCCATATCCAAATCCGTCTGTCAACTGCCAAATTAAAATCTGTTTTCTATCAAATATCCACAGTTTTCGATGCCTTTACACTTTCTTAATGTTGTAATTCATCTTAAAACAAAAACATCGAAAACCTTTTTTCATAATCATATTAAGTGCACTTTATCAAGACACACTGTTTAAACGTAAATCAGTCTTTGTCGTCCTGAGAAAAATAAATAAAAGGTTACCCTACTTAGAAAGAGAGAGCCTGCCCACAGAGAGCGAGATAGTGATACATAGGTTGTGCTTCAAGTAGGTATTCTAAGTCTGGCCTCCATTTTTATCTTTAGCTTCATGGTGTGTACCATGTGAGATTTATTTTGCAACAAAAACCATAAAATAAACACGAATTTTGTTCTCTTTAGTATTACAAAATAAATAAAATAAGAAATGGAAACAGAAAATATAAATGTTGAGGAGTTTCTGCCCGCCAAAAACCCAGTGAAGTTGAAAAATGTGAAACGCAGAGCTGTATCGGAATCTGGTGATGGTATGGAGGTAGAACAGCATAACGGCATTGAAGGAAAGCCCAAACACGCGCGTTCTCGTCCGAAGAAGGCGAAGAAAAACGCTGAACCCAATGAAGCTAAAGTAAACATGAGAAAAGTCGCTGTTCCCGCACACAGGTACATAACCTCAAAATTGTGTGTTTATTTTTAGTATGTGGTATTTTCTGTTGAATTTGTTTCCATACTCAATACTTTTCAACCTAGTAGTTCCGTCCACTGCTGGACAAAAGTCTGTCTCTGTTGATTTCTCTCAGTTTGTTAATTATAATCCCAAATAAACAAAGTACCTATGTATAAATACCATTTAAATCATGTTCATTATAATAAAATGTCTATAAGTGGTATTTCCTAAGATTCACAGTACTTAGTACTGAGATTTCAACTACCTCTAATTTTTGAAAGATCAAAGAAAAAGAGGATATTCTTATATCGTCTGTTTTTATTCCCTTGTTATAACTAGCTGATTTATATTTCAGATACACACCACTAAAAGAGAACTGGCTGAAGATCTTCACACCGATCGTAGAGCACTTACTACTGCAGGTCAGATTCAACACGAAAACCAGGAACGTTGAAATCAAAGTGGGCCCAGAAACTAAAGACATTGCAAACTTACAGAAAGCCGCTGACTTTGTGAAGGTAAATAACTGTTTTTCTCTTTTTCGTCACTAAATGATCATTGATCTGATCATTTTGTAAATTTTTCACGAATCCTGAATCTCCTGTTTGCCATTTTTGCTTTCTCTTACAACCAGTTTCAATAATTACATTATGTACATCTGAGTGTCATAATACCTCAAGTTGTCCCAGTTGTTGAACAATAAAAACTACTGTCCAATTTTTCTTACTTCTCTCTCAGATTAAATGATAACTTTTTGAACGTATGATATGACTATCTTTTGCCCGCGGCTTCACCCGCGTGAAATTTAGTTTGTTACATATCGTCAGCCTATGTGTTATTCTGGGTTATAAACAATGATACTGTAAAGTTTCATCAAAATCAGTTCAGTAGTTTTTGCGTGAAAGAGCAACAAACATCCAGACATGCAAACTTTCTATTAGTAGGATGTAGTATTTATTATTTTATTTATTTATTTATTATTCATTATTGAGCAATTACATATTTGATCCAAATAGCGTCCTAAATCATAATAATAATAGTAAATAAGATTGGAAATATTGTTTGTGGCTCATGATAACTGTTACTAAATTGGTTTTCTTGTTTCAGGCATTCATCTATGGCTTTGATGTTGAAGACGCTCTCGCACTCCTCAGGCTAGACGACTTATTTGTGGAGTCCTTCGAAATAAAAGACGTCAAAACGTTACAAGGGGACCATTTGGGAAGAGCTATCGGTCGTCTCGCTGGCAAAGCTGGCCGAACAAAGTTCACGATAGAAAACGTAACGAAAACCAGAATAGTGTTAGCAGACTCCAAAATTCACATACTCGGAAGTTACCAGAATATTGCATTGGCAAGGAGAGCTATTTGTAACTTGATCATGGGATCTCCACCCTCAAAAGTGTACGGCAATTTGAGGAGTGTAGCAAATAGGGTCGCTGAAAGATTTTAGTTCTAATATATTTATCGTTCACAAAACTTGTTTTATTATTCTTCAACAGCTTGAAACAACCTACCAAAAACTTTCACCTTATTTCAACTACATGCCACAGTGTAAGTATTAAATGTTTATTGTGTGAAATAATGATTATTTTTCTGGGAAGAAAAAAGTAGTTAAGTAGTAGCTAACCCAAAAATTACAGAACACAGAAACACAATTATTTAGGTTTTCATCAATGGTTTATTTTGTTTATAAAACCTTAAACAGTTAACAGCACCAGTAACTTACAGAACAGATTGTTCCATTTCATAAGTTTTAATAAATGCATAATTAAATAATGTTACATTTTGCATGATTTCATTATAATAATAATTTATACAGTTGCAAGTGTTGTCCATTTGGTAAAACGAACTATAACAAAGTTTTCGTTTTGCTGGTTGCCTATGAATTATTAAAATACATCTTAGTTATATTTTGAAATTAATAAAATATAATTAAAAAGTTTTCACACACCATTTTCACTGAATTATTTGTCTTTTCATCACAAAATAGAAAATATAACAACACTACAGTAACAATGGTGTTGCAACTAAATTTTATAATTTTACTGTTACCAATTTAACTAGGACAGTTAAAATATGTAATTATCGCAATAATAGAAAAATAAACATTTATGCTAAATAAAAACAAGACAGAAACGGAATGTAGAATTAATAATACCTTTTCCATTAGTAATTACAATAATTATTAAGTTAAAATTAAATAACGAAATTGTTACAAACTTGTGGTAACCTTTTGATGAGGGTAATTATTTTAAACAATTATGAAGACTCCGACTAACGTTTTAAGCGCTTAGAGGCTAATTTTGGTAATCGCGTATACGCGTGCCTTATGGTTTATTAAGGCACCTAATATAACGCTCTTGCAAGCCAAAATAAGTTTAAAAAGTCAATCAAGTGTTCGAAAAAAATTAAAAATAATTCAGATAAAAATAATATCTATTTAACTATCAATATCAAACGTATGGCACAGCCATAATGTTTTTGGGTACGTTAAAAAAATATTTATTTAGAAATTCCATATTGATTTCTTGTAGGTAACATGGTGTAATACGTTTACTTTGAGCACGACATGACGTTTCAGTACCGCCTCTGTTCCGTGGTAATACCGCTCTAGATTTCAAACATAAATCTGTAAAAAAAAACAAAATACAGTATTAAATTATTTTGAGGTAAAGTCTGTTCGCCGAGAGTTGATAAATATTATGAAATGTCTTGCAATAGCGACTGTCGCTTAATTATCGCATTCTGTATGGCGGGCGTCGATGTCACAATGCGCACTGAGTACCATGGTCACTTACCACGGCTAGTTCAGAGACGTTATAAGTTCCATAGACGTATCGTGCTAGAGTTGCAGCAAGTAGGGCGAGTCAAGAGCCCCCAAGCCGGCGGCGACTCCGCCCTCATTCGCGTCTGCTAGTTTGGTCCGCAGCATGTGCCCCACTTGCTTGTTGCTGAAGATCTTGTCTTTGGTGCTGTTGGAGGAAACGTTCCTCTATTACTAGCTATGCCAAAGACTGTATTGTACGCGTGAAAATTAAAATACAATAGTTGGATATTTTTATTTTTCCATTGTTACTTAATTTTTAGCGGTAAGAGTTTGCAGTGAGATGCAAGTTGCATCTCAATCTAAAAAAAGGTTATGGGTTCGATTTCCGCCTTATTCAATTTAGGCTGAGTTGCGCCACCTTACTTTAACCGCAAGGCCCAGAACAGACGGTGAAACGCAACTGCAACGAACTGCAACTTTCTGATGATTCTGATGAATGAAACTGAACCTGAAAGTTTCAAACTGGTCGCGTCATGTGTGGTCTCTCAACGGACGCTATGGCAGAAACTTAGATGCAACTCAAAAGTTGCAGTTTCGTTGCAGTTGCGTTTCACCGTCTGTTCTGAGCCTAACTATAATAACCATAACCAATGTTTTTTTTTTGTATGGTGATTGACAGATTTTTGACGTTTAATAAAGTTAAATTATTGGAGCAACTCAGTGTTAAATTATTGAACGGAAGCTCTAGACAAATGACATTTTTGATCGCTCCGAAACATTTTATTTTGCCACTAGTCTATGGGGCAAATAATCAAGAACTCACCCAATGATGACCCCAAATATTCCCAGTTCAGACACCAAGTCAGTGACGGGCGGTGGGACAGATGCGCCCGGTCTCACCACGTATCCGGAAACCTAAAAAAATAAACATACAGGTGTTATTTCTTCCAGTGGGGCCAATGGGAAAATATCAGTTGCATTATCCCCCTCTAGAAAGTTTTTTTGCGAAGGTATTTAAAAAATTTACTACTCAATGTCGTCAACAATATGGTGTAATTTAGCTTTTTTCAAGGGTCGAGCACCGTTTGCCGATGTAATATGACAAGTAGCTACTGTACTAGCATTTAGCGCACCCCACGCGTATTTTTTCTTCTTTCCATCGATTTTTTTTTTACTGTAGGTGAAGAATACTTCGCGCGTACGTCATTAACTACTCGCTCGTGAATGCCTTGTGGATTAAACCCGCTGGGGGGTACGCCACACGTGTATTGTTTTCGATGCCTATTCGGGGAGACGAACAGGCCTAGTGGTGCATTGTAATTGCCTATTAACTCTAGTTTGACACCAGCAGGCAGCCAATCCTAATTTTCCGACGGACTAGTCTTAATCATACGTGTGGCTCTCGTGGTCTCTACTTATGTCATACGTGTGGCGCAAAGATGGAAGTATGGACTAGTGTGGAAGACTAGAGGCCTATGTCCAGCAGTGGACGTCCAGTGGCTGTAATGACGCTGGTCTAGTATGGTAGTAGCTGCGACTCACCAGCGGCGGCAGGATGCGCTCCAAGTGTAGAAGACTAGAGGCCTATGTCCAGCTGTGGACGTCCAGTGGCTGTAATGACGCTGGTCTGGTATGGTAGTAGCTGTGACTCACCAGCGGCGGCAGGATGCGCTCCATGAGAATGTAGGCGGCGCGCTCGCGACTGTGGCGCATGGATGGAAGTAAACTAGTGTGGAAGACTAGAGGCCTATGTCCAGCAGTGGACGTCCAGTGGCTGTAATGACGCTGGTCTAGTATGGTGTAGCTGTGACAGGATGCGCTCCAAGTGTGGAAGACTAGAAACCTATGTGCAGCAGTGGACGTGGCTGAAATGATGATGATGGTCTATGGAAGTAGTTGTATCTTACCAGGGGCGCATGGATGGAAGTAGACTAGTGCGGAACACTAGAGGCCTATGTCCAGCAGCGGACGTTCAGCGGCTGAAATGATGATGTCCAGTGGTAGTGACTCACCAGCGGCGGCAGGATGCGTTCCATGAGGATGTAGGCAGCGCTCACGTCTGTGACGCATGGATGGAAGTAGACTGGTGTGGAAGACTAGAGGCCTATGTCCAGCAGTGGACGTCCAGTGACTGAAATGATTATGTTCAGTGGTAGTATCTCACCAGCGGCGGCAGGATGCGTTCCATGAGGATGTAGGCGGCGCGCTCGCGGCTGTGACACAAGGATGGAAGTAAACCAGTGTGGAAGACTAGAGGCCTATGTCCAGCAGTGGACGTCCAGCGGCTGAAATGATGATGTCCAGTGGTAGTGACTCACCAGCGGCGGCAGGATGCGTTCCATGAGGATGTAGGCGGCGCGCTCGCGACTGTGGCGCAAGGATGGAAGTAGACTAGTGGAACACTGGAGGCCTATGCCCAGCAGTGGACNGCTGCTTAGCTACGGCACGCTGTTGTGGGGTAACTCGGTCGATGTGACAAGGGTATTCATTGCACAAAAAAAGTGTATAAGGGCTATTTGCAAAGCGCATTTTCTTGAATCATGTAAACCTTTATTCGAAAAGCTTTCAATATTACCTGTTCCATGCTTATACATAAAGCAGGCGTGTATTTTCGTAAAACAGAACCCACATTATTTTTTGACAAGGGGTGAATTTAAAAATAAGCCAACGAGACATCAAGGTAGGATCTTGTTGCCTAATATTAAACTGACGTTTTTCAAACGCAGTCCTCATTGTATGGCTATAAAAATTTATAATAAATTACCTGATAAGTTCAAAGATCTACCTTTGCTGTCTTTTAAAAGACAAATACACGCCTGGCTATTAACTAAGTGCTATTATTCAGTCAGGGAATATCTCGACGAACAATAGAATTTTAATCAGACTAACGAACAACAATTAATTTTTATTTATATAGATGACATATTTGATTTGATACCAGCAGTGGACGTCCAGTGACTGAAATGATTATGTTCAGTGGTAGTATCTCACCAGCGGCGGCAGGATGCGTTCCATGAGGATGTAGGCGGCGCGCTCGCGGCTGTGACACAAGGATGGAAGTAAACCAGTGTGGAAGACTAGAGGCCTATGTCCAGCAGTGGACGTCCAGCGGCTGAAATGATGATGTCCAGTGGTAGTGACTCACCAGCGGCGGCAGGGTGCGTTCCATGAGGATGTAGGCGGCGCGCTCGCGACTGTGGCGCAAGGATGGAAGTAGACTAGTGGAACACTGGAGGCCTATGCCCAGCAGTGGACGTCCAGTGACTGAAATGATTATGTTCAGTGGTAGTATCTCACCAGCGGCGGCAGGATGCGTTCCATGAGGATGTAGGCGGCGCGCTCGCGGCTGTGACACAAGGATGGAAGTAAACCAGTGTGGAAGACTAGAGGCCCATGTCCAGCAGTGGACGTCCAGCGGCTGAAATGATGATGTCCAGTGATAGTGACTCACCAGCGGCGGCAGGATGCGTTCCATGAGGATGTAGGCGGCGCGCTCGCGGCTGTGGCGCATGCGTACGAGAGCATCGCGTACGTCCGCACCGTACAAATTGTTACCACCACCTTCGCGCTGCGGTTTCAGAACGAACCTGAAAACGCAAGAGTTTAGCCAAGTAAATAAGTGTTTAATATCTAGAAATAACGTCTATTCAAGACGTCAGGAAAGCATCCTAGAGGATGCAAAGATGTAATGTAAGCCCTCGACATTCTTGCACCTCTCAGCACTTCATTTTAGATGATCTCAATAGACCATAAAACGGTCGTCAGACTTCAGCTGGGGACATTAAGATTATATGTAGATGTTGACACTTTCAGGTATTCCATAAGAAAGGCTCTACCAAGAGATAAGAAGAAGAAGTATTAACAACTCTCAGGGTTCTCCAAGAAGACCTTCGTCTAGGGCAGTGGTTCTTAACCAGTGGTCCGTGGACCACTGGTGGTCCCTGGAGGCATTCCAAGTGGTCCACGAAGTGCACTTGCACACCTTGGTCAAAACCACTTTTAACTGATTTTTGCAGTCAAACTGCTTTACTTTTGACCGATTATGATTATGAGGTGGTCCCTGACAAGACAGAAATTTGGTAAAATGGTCCCTCATGACTTAAAGGTTAAGAACCACTGGTCTAGGGACACATAATTAAATCGTAATCTCACCAAGCGTGCTCAATCGTCATTTTCATGGCCCTCTCGCCGCCCTCATCGAAGTCCAGCGAGTAGAGACCCGTAAATACAGGGTGGAAACGATAAGTGATCTCACGCGATTATTTCTAAACTATACAAGATATCGAAAAACTGGTTACTGATCCTGAAAGTGCTTTACGAGCTCTTTCCAACGGTATAAGTAATAGGTTACAGAATTAAATGGATCTATCCGAAAATTCAATGTTTTCAGCCTCCATACTAAATGTATGCCAGCCACACAATATTAGAAGTGTTATATTTTTTAATAAATAATAAAAACTTAAATTAAACTCGTAAATTGCATTCTCATTTAAAATTATTCATGGAAAACATTGGTTTTAGGCTTTATTTGCTATAATATTATCAAGCCATGAGTGCCATGACTGTGGCAGTACTAAATGTATGGAAGCTGGAAACATTGAATTTTCGGATAGATCCAGTTTATTTTGTAACTTATTATTGGTACCGTTGGATAGAGCTCGTGAAGCACTTTCAGGATCAGTAACCAGTTTTTTTGATATCTTGTATAGTTTTTAATATTATGTGGTTTTACTAAATGTATGGAAGCTGGAGACATTGAATTCTCGGATAGATCCAGTTAATTCTGTGACCTGTTATTGGTACCGTTGGATAGAGCTCGTAAAGCACTTTCAGAATCAGTAACCAGTTTCTCGATATCTTGTATAGTTTAGAAATAATCGAATGAGATCACTTATCGTTTCCACCCTGTATATCCCGCACGCGACTGCTTCCCATGGGAACACCTGATATGCTTCCCCTAAGGACCTGGAGTATATGAGCTCACCTTTCTGCGTCCTCCAGCGCCATTTCCACAGCCCGCTCGCCTCCCTCGTCGAAGTCCAACGAGTAGAGCCCCGTGAATATATCCCGCACGCGACTGCTTCCCATGGGGACACCTGATATGCTTTCCCTGGGGTCACCTGATAAGTTCATAGACTCACCTCTCAGCATCTTCTAGCGCTATTTCTACAGCACTTTCGCCACAGCCTGGAAAATATATGCTCACCTTTCTGCGTCCTCAAGCGCCATTTCCACAGCCCTCTCGCCGCCCTCGTCAAAGTCCAACGAGTAGAGGCCCGTGAATATATCCCGCACGCGACGCTTCCCATGGGAACACCTGATATGGTTCCCCTAAGGACGGACCTGGAGTATATGAGTTCACCTTTCTGCGTCCTCAAGCGCCATTTCCACAGCCCGCTCGCCTCCCTCGTCAAAGTCCAACGAGTAGAGCCCCGTGAATATGTCCCGCACGCGACTACTTGCTGCGCCCGCTCCCATAAACTTCTCTAACACGCCTGGTCCTGCCAGCGCTTGTTGCACCTTCTTCGTGCCGGCTAGCTGGTAGTGGATGGAGGGGCACTTGATTGCTCTAAAAGTAAGTCATAAAAGTTATTTAGTTTCTGCAGAGACTTAAAAAGCGCTTTTACAAGACCCAGTATTATTTAAAGCCAATTGACTGCTTTGGGATAATAATGGGAAAGTGTTGAAAAGCAGCGCAAACTAAGGCAAGCTGTGAGGAAGAATATAATTTATTTGTGAAAGTTTTTTTAGGGTAAATGGCAGCCTATGACTTTCTGGTTTATACTTTATAGCAGTTATACTTCGGTGTCTAAGTTTAACGTCATTGATAGGAAAATTTAGGATTTACATAAAATGAAACACATTAGTATGAATTACTTAATAAATAACTCACGTGGATCTCTCAACGCGCAGTCTTGCGTCCCACTCTCGCGACGATGGATATTGCGCCGGTTCGTATCCCGACCGGTAGTACACCACAGCGACTGGGCGTCCATCTCTGAATAATTTTTATATTTTTTTACAATCAGGCAAAAAGCGCATCTCCACTTTCCCTAATTTTAACCTTATCATTGCTTTGGAACATTAATACTAGTAATGTAACAATCGTCACATTTTTTCCCATAGGCCCCAGTGGGGACGGCTGGGAAAAGAGAAGGCGCGTAGTGTCAAAGTGAATGTCGAGAGAAAAACATCATGCAGGTAAAATAATATCAAAACAAACTACTATACTATACTTTTATGAATTTTCTATTAATAAATGAGACCATAACTCATACTCACATAATCAATTGCTTCTTATCGTTAAGTTCAGTCTCTTCATAAATTTCATTTAAAGTCTTCCTCATTATCTGCAGACAAAAAGTGACATTACAAAATATGTTTAGCTACCATACTCATCAAATAACAAGCAACTACAAAAACGGGACTATTCCCAGCTTTTGTTCCCACCGCTGAAATTTGTGTAGCCAGGATATACAACTTTACCGCCAATAAAAACCCAACCAATTAAGGTGAAGTTTGTCTTAGTGAAAAGTTAAACTGTCGTTGGTAACTGTCGTAGAAAAACAGGAGTTCTCTCCAGTGCAAATTGGATTGGTGACAAAAAAATGTTTAAGGAATCAGAGCAACTACAATAGCCCACCTGTATCTCAGGACGTGTCTCAGATATGTAGAACTCGTGGAACCGCTGGTCGCAGATATTGTAAGAGACCTCTTCCACAACGAAAATGACGACCGCGTCTGGCGCCCCAAACAAGTCGAAAGCGTCCGTTATACCCGAGCAGAGGCCGGATAGAGCGCGGTTTTCGGGCATCTGTTTATAAAAATGTAATAATGGAATAATATTTAAAATGGAAAAGTGTTGACGACAGCAAAATTATCTTATTTGAATAAAAAAATTGGATAACGAAATCATGTGAGTCTATATTGAGACCGCATAAAGGTATAATTCCGAACTCCGATACTTGCAGCAGCTCGCTTCCACCTTGGGCCTGATTATGACTTTCCATCAGGTGAGATGTAGGCAATTTAAACCTTTAAATGATGACAATCTGAGCTACGCAGCAATTCAGCTTGGCAATGTTGCTGAGATAGTAGATACTGTAAAATTCTTAGGCTTCACTTTGGACAAACATTGTAATTGGAAAGCACACATAGAGGCGATGTGTATGAACATTGATAGATTCGTATATGCTTTAAGACGCCTTAGTAACATTTCATCCATTGAAACCGCTTTAGCCGCGTATCATGGCTATGTATCGTCGCTGCTTAGCTACGGCACGCTGTTGTGGGGTAACTCGGTCGATGTGACAAGGGTATTCATTGCACAAAAAAAGTGTATAAGGGCTATTTGCAAAGCGCATTTTCTTGAATCATGTAAACCTTTATTCGAAAAGCTTTCAATATTACCTGTTCCATGCTTATACATAAAGCAGGCGTGTATTTTCGTAAAACAGAACCCACATTATTTTTTGACAAGGGGTGAATTTAAAAATAAGCCAACGAGACATCAAGGTAGGATCTTGTTGCCTAATATTAAACTGACGTTTTTCAAACGCAGTCCTCATTGTATGGCTATAAAAATTTATAATAAATTACCTGATAAGTTCAAAGATCTACCTTTGCTGTCTTTTAAAAGACAAATACACGCCTGGCTATTAACTAAGTGCTATTATTCAGTCAGGGAATATCTCGACGAACAATAGAATTTTAATCAGACTAACGAACAACAATTAATTTTTATTTATATAGATGACATATTTGATTTGATAATTTTTGTAAGGAATATTTTAATTGGCGACATTGATAGGTACTATTAATTTAATTTTACATTGACATTTTTTTTTAATCATTTGACATTTATATTATTGAATCCTATAATTTTTGCACGTCTGTGATCAGACTAAACACATCATGATCCTATTTTAATATTGTCACCCTGTATTACTGTGTTTTTAGCAAATAAACGTTTTGAATTTTTGAATTTGAATTTGAATTTGCGCGCAGCAGAGTTCGGAATCATTATCTAACTATGAAACGAGAGAAAAAAAAAAGAATATTTTTCCTTTATAAATAAAGTATAGAAATTTTACTTACATTTTTAATTAGATCACCGTGACCAAGTTGCCTTAATATGTAGCTGAAAATATTGAGTTTCATAAGCATTTTATAATAAAAAATCGAAAATTTGACCAATATTATTATTGTGTAATTGGAAAAAATAAATAGAAATTGCTAAATATAATTTAATTTTACTCATTAATTTGTAATTATTTTTTTAACAAAACATGCTGATATCATCATCATTAAATTAATATGCTTTTTATAATTAAGTAAGAAATCTAATGTGGTCAAATTTTCGGACACAAAGAGAAAAGAAAAGAAAAAAAGTAGTGAAGAACAACCAAAGCAAACCATCAAACAGCTACAAAAAGCGCTCAATCAACAACAGCACAGGGCCCCTAAAACAAAACAACATCAACTAGATACCAAACAGCAAACACAAATACTATTAGATACCACCTTCCAATATCAAACATATTTTTATACCTGTGTTGTGTATTTTTCTCATTGGCCACCACCAAAATATTATCACTTATTTATTTTTAAAATAAAAAAATAATAATTTCCTACCACTGAGGTGCTCAATGGGACACTTTTCCCAAACGCCACCCTTTGTAAAAAATAAGCTATTCTTTTCTAAATATGACAAATAGCGAATATTTAAATGGCGAGACCAATGTTAAGAACATTATTTATTTTTAAACACGTAAAACGTATTACTGGAAGGTGAATCATTAAATTCTATTCAACGTGCACAATTATTATGAGACCCCTATGAAAAAAGCAAAAATATCCATACTGCTTTTTTTAGTCCGAATGTGTGTTACCCAGCCCTAAATCTACAACTACAATCTAACTCAAAACTACTTTTATTTAAAATGCGCTTTTAAAAAATATTTTGATATCATAAAATTATTTTATTTGCATTTAGTTTTTTGAGTTTCTTATTTAGGTATTAATTAATTCATGCAATGTTTACAAACGTTTTATCTATCGCTTTTGGAATATTATATTTTATTTTAATTTTAGTTAAATATATTAACAGATATTTTTGAATTATGTGTTGTAATAATTATTTAAAAATGTGATGCATTTTTGTTTTCAATTTTATATTAGTTTTGTGATTCGTATCAAAATTAAATCTTACCATAAGCTTTATAAGAAGGGACTGTGTTTATTTGTAAGTTTGTAGCTAATATTTTACTGTGTTACTAGGATCTTATCTTATTTGTCTATTTAGGCAAAGGAGTGATAGGAGTTGTTTGGAGCATTTTTGTAAACAGTAATTAAATCATTATCTATCGTCTTAAAGCGAGAAAGTATTCCTAAGTTAATTTCTGAGGTTTGAGACACTGTCTAACCTTAACCACTGATGAGAGAGTATGTCTATGTCTAACAAACTAGAGATCAAAATAATTATTGTGGGCCATCAGTGACTTACGTGTCATCATACGTGTTAAACTGTTAACCAATCTTTTATCGACATGGACAGAGTAGTTACCTCAGGAACCAACTTAGCGGCTGACCTAAAAGTCTTAAAATTCAAATCTTAAACCATTACCACTCCAATGCTCGAATTTAAGAAGAATTTAGTTCTGTAAATTAAACAAAAACATTACATTAAACCTATGTATAAATATTTAGTCAATGGTAGGCTTATAAGGTCAACACGTTCAGAAACAATCCATCAGAAATGTAACAAATATTTTGAACGCAACATTTAATTGTGCATGGGTGATTAAAGCAAAGTCATTTTTTGAAAGATGTGTACCCTAAGCCATACCCAGCAATGACTGGACAGAAAGACAACAACATCTGAACAACAACACACGATTTAATGTTTATTATTTGACCGACAATGCAGGCGTGGTCAGGTAACATCTCTCAAGTGATCGCACTACTGAAGCTTTTAAAATGCGTCCACAAGATACATGCTCTCGAATATCAACTCAAAAAAACATCTAAATAATACACTAAAATAATAACCTAACTTTACTTTAAAACTATGTGCAAAGCTAAGCCATACAAGTGCAACAAACAACAATAAAATAAAAACGGACAAGCATAGACATGATTCGAGTGGAAGAGATGGATGTATAGCGTGCATTGAGACGAAGAGATAGCAGTCACATGAGAGATGTCGACTGATACTGTCGCTTAAGCACATGGGGTTGTTTGTACCTGGATACTTCCTTCTTAAAAACCTGTTACAAGACTAAGAACTACTAAAAAGTTTGCATTTTAAAACGGTAGTTAATTATGGTAAAAAATAATATAAAAAAAGTCCGTTTAGCAATCTAAAAAAATGCAAACATTTTTAATAGTCCCCACCACCAGAGGTGCGACATGTGCTCGTGAGAAGTGTGTGTGAAGAAGGTGATTAAAGCCTAAAACATATTTACATAATTTAACAACCATGTTTCAGTTTTCATGCAAGTGTTTTCCTGTAAAAAATCTCAAGACTTCACTGAAAAAAGACATGCTCCTGAATGGATGGTAGTGGAAGGAAAAACAGAATGTAGGTGCATGCAGTTTGTAACACGCTTTCTCTGGTGGCGCCATGTTAGTTTTTAGACAAACCTGTGTCGTTTACGTCTATTTCGTTATTTATTTTTTTAACATTTTGATTAACTGCGCAGAGCGGGAGAGGTGTATTGTGCGTACCAAATCAAAACGGAACCCCATATTAAAGAGAACGATAGAAACAAAATTATGGGGTCAGAACTCAGAAGAAAAAACATATTTTAGATTTTTTTACAGTCACACCGTTCTTGAACCTTCACAGGGTCTGAGCCTGCGCCTGGACACCGCTGACTGTTGCCAGTGCCTTACTGCACTGTTTTTAATTACATTTTGTATGTTATTTCAATTTTACTCATACTTTTTAGATTAATAAATGTATTACTGATTAGCTCTTAAATCGTGAATATACCCCTTCAGCACTGCGTTTATTATCAAGACATGAAAATATAAAATAAAGATGTTAAAGTATCCAGGTAAATCCCCATGCGCACGCGACGCGTCGGTACCGAGACATGGCTGGTAGGTTCGACGCGATGGCGCCGAAACTGGATGCCACAGTGTTAAACTCCACTTGCTTAATGTGGTTGCCGCCCTTCTGCATCAGGTAGTCGGAGCGAAACAGGCCCAGGCTGAGGGTCTGCAATATTATACAGTCGGTAACTAATAATAAAATGGCTTCGTGAATCATCAGGACATTCATTCTTCTCCACTGCAGGGGACGAATCTTTAATTTACACAGGGAGGATTCGGCCTCCTTACGCTGGCCAGACGGGCCGGGGAGGCCTGTCGACATCCACAGAGAGAGTGGAGGTAGTCCTGTTCCACTCTGCCGGAACCATATGGCTTCGTGAATGGCAGAAACTTATGTAGATGGCGCTTCTTTTCCACTAGGTTCCATAAGCTGCTTGATAAGAATAAAGTTGCAAGTTTTGCCTTGAGGACTGCTTAGTCATCATAATAAATAGCAAAAGAAGTGAACAGTTTAAGAAAGGCCTCCCCGTTTTAATTTATTCAAATATAAATTCGACTGTCCTGGTTATTTTTTTTGCAAATTAACAAATAATAAAACAATAATACATAAACCCATTAGGACCCGAATATTCCCATTTGTCCCCTGATGGGACTATAGGGACTTTTTTCCCAGATGACCCGGATCTTATACGTTCACTTCCAATAATATTTATAAATAGTATTAAATTATAATTTATCTGTTATTCTAACACATTTATGTTTATATGTCGCGAAAACTAGAACTAAAGCATGAAATGCAGTCATCAGTCTTGTGGGATCAATATTCACAGTAGTCCCATCAATGGATAACCATGTAGGGATAAATGGGAATACATGGATATTCTTACACTATTTTTTACAGTTTTTACACACATACTTTATACAATGACTTGTTATTCTAATTTCCTTGTTATGAAGGTCATAGCTATAAGATAACAATGCATACTTTAATAATATTCTGTCCACTCATTGTTGATTACAACTTGCTCTGAACATTTGATATTAAAATAAGAATCAGACGAACTTTGGAATTACATCATTACTCTTGTACCAATTTTTTTTGCGCAAGACCTCAAGTTTGAGAAAACTTGAAGCAGATAATAACTAAAATGGTGATAAACTGGAAATAGTTATTTGTGTGTTTAGGGTGTTTTTATTGTAATATCTGTGCTTAAAAAAATGTAGTAAAAAAACTTTGCATATAAATAAATGACGTGTTTTTATCCTAATAGTAATAACCTATCAAGTCATTATTGTAATAAATAATATGTTCACGATTTCAACTTCTTTTATGTAAGACCTAAATAAATAAATTGTGTCATTTTTAGATTTATAGCAGTCTTTACTTACACGTCATTTTTTATGATGTATGCTCTCATTATTATTTATTACATAAGGCTGCTAATATATTCACTCGTTTCAAAGTTATTGACGATTGTGAAAACACCTGTATCATTGATACTGCTTACGTCCGATCGATTTTCGTTTAGAGAAAATCATGCATAATAGTAAATTATTAGTTTGCACCAAGAGACTTGAACAAATACTTGAGCATTGCACCTAATTAGATAAGTATTGTTTTCTTAACACCACAGCTAGGGTCGTTTATTATTATTATAATAATTATTAATTACACATTTTATTTACCAAATTATGAAAGTATTAATGCAAACCATATCCTATTCCTGTTCAAGTCTCAAATAGTTGCTACAAAATGCTGTTTCAATTTCTCACTATCCAATTGTTACGATTAGCAAGACAATACAATTGTTTACCAACACACGCTTCTTGTAAGATGTTAATGTCGAGCATCATTGTTTTGTCCGTTTAAGATTTAATACACATTCATGTTAATTAATGATTATTGGCTTAGACATCACGGATGTAATTGATTAGGGTTACTAATTAAATATTTTAGATTCAACTAAAATTGAGGCAAAATATTTACAGGCGTAACCTCGATTCAGGGAATTTAAATAGATTACAATGGTAAATTGGAATTACTTGAAACGAATGATAAAGCTTCTTTCCATTCCACTTATAAAATAAAATTACAGATTATTAGCTCTTCACACCATACAAAGCGTAACAAGAAAACTTGATACATTTCTCGTTTTTTTGTACACCCTGTAATACTTAATATTATTTAATCTTAATAACTTCGCAGTAACTCCAGCAAATCAATCGAAATTAATATTTTACAAGCCAACCACTCCCTCAAATAATAAGCGAAATAAAACTGTAAAAATATTTACACACAACGGTTGTTTTAGGCTCAAATTCAGTCGAATCTAATTAATTCTACGTCATGCGAAATAATAATTAATTATTTTAGCTACAATTAGCAAAAACTGTTACTTTACTGGACCATACCGGACCCCACGACTATTAAGACTGTCGTTTACGCCCATTTGATGACACGAGTAAAGCAGTAAAGCATACAACAGTCTGATACATAGATATTTTGATTAAAAAGCGAAACATTAAAATATACGTACGGCATCAAAGTAGAAAGTTTCACGGTCTTGTCAGCTAAAATGTCGTCACGGTTCAGTTCATTTCTATTTTTCTCGCTTGGTAAAGGCGAATTGTTATAGTTTTTGTTAGGTATTACCTAATAAACAGTGAAAGTTAACCGCTATCAAAAATTACTACCAAAAAAAGTTTTTTTGGTAGCAAAATCTCAGATTTTTGGGAAGACTCATACATTATGTTTTTTGGAAGATTTAGGTGATAGTTAAATTGTATGCTTTATCAAACTGTTGTCACTTTAAAACGCAATATGAATAAAATTACACTATACCTTTCTCAAAAAGTCAATTTATTGTATTTTTATAGTGTAGTTTTAATTTTAGAAAGGTGGTTTTTTAATGTTGTCCCATAATCCACCTACGGGGGATGGTGGGAATAATTAGTTTTTAGGTAAATTGATTTTTAAGGTCTAAAAAAGACTATAGCTTACAGTACAATGCAGTATTAAGGAAAAAGACCACAACTTAAGTATTGCATTTTAAAATATAGTTTAGAGACTGGTACAATAGGGTTATTATTCATTATTTTATTGATATTGCGACTGCATTTCTACAATGGGCGTAAATGACATCGGCTGGTACGTGATTGCGGTCGCTTTACAATGGAGGCGCAGGCGTATAGTTATCCATAGCAAAGTGATTTATATGAACAGCGCGAAGATAATTCTTCCCAAGACTTTTTAAAAAGTTTTTGTGTTCTGTATTGCTAAAAGTGCGATAACTTGCGCGTGCGCCTCCATTGAATCAGCGGGCTTATTTCACACCTACGTATTTTGAGTTCTATTCGTCTCTGTCACTCGCTTCCTGTTGTTATCACGAGCAAATGGGACAGATAACGATAGAACTAAAAATACGGAATGATATTGCGGGGTAGCTCCGAATAGCGTTTCAAGACGCGACCCTGATCGCCACGTATTCCTGTTGTCCCCCAAAATTTGTTCCTCACTGGTGGATTTTGGGAAAAACGTTGCGATATCCGCCAGTTGGGGCAAAAAATGGGGCACAGCAGGAATACGTCCGGACCTCTACCTCTGAATCTCCCTCGAGACGGGCCCTAGGTGTCCGAAGCCGGACGCAATACTGTTAATCTCCACTTGCTTCCACGAGCAGTAGGGCGTGTGCTTCGCGCACTGATTCTCTGTGTGGGGACACCGCGACTCCAACATGATGTCCGAACGGAGCATGCCTAGCGATATCGGCTACGCCGGACAGATAACGTTGTAAGCGCAGTTGGGGCAAGTGCTTGGATTGGGGCAAGTGTGTGGACCCTTTGTTTGCAGTCACGGAACTGGCGACGGCCGAGCGATGGCGGGGCGACGGCGGCGCGTCGCCATTTATACTGCCATGTTGTTGTATGCATCGCCGCCGCTACGCCGTCGCGTCGCGTCGCCATCGCTCAGGCCGTCGCCAATTTCGTGCCCGCAGACTTTGTCCTAAATGGGCGACGAGATGCGACATGAAACAACGCGGTGTTATGCGACCAATACTTCACGTGACGTGTGTCCTCCGTGGCTAAATAGGGCACTATCATAAACAAGGTCTAATTTATATTTTCGCGTTTGTCGTTCATCTAGGACAACGGGTTAGCGCGCCAACTTTAATGGAGCTATTCTTACTTAAACGCATGGGCAGTTAAGATGTTTAGTTCCTTCAATTAATGGAGGATTTGGTTTACACTCTCCGTACTTTGCAGACGGGTTTGGGGCTATTCCCGCTCCTAATTTCTCCCAAGTCCTGTATTGTCAAATTCTACAATTTGCCCACCAAAAATTTACTTCTTTTTGTACCTAACGACTTAGCACTGTGATGCTGAGGTTGAATTTGAATCTGGCACCAATGTTAATTTTTCTAGGCGGCCAGGATTTAGAAATAATAACCTTAAGTAAGTCGTCTCCAATGAATACATGAATCTTGAATATCTTTGCAATTACCCCATCGGCACTTGCCTCAACTGTGAAACACCAAAAAATGGTGTACGACCATTAAAGTAAAATAATACATGCTTATTTAATAATAATATTATACACAATAACCTATATTACCATTAATTCCTTTACATGCATCATTTCTGACGTTAAATATTCGTAGAAATATCACCCTGTATAAGCATAATAAATTCCTGGATATTATAGGCACCACTCCAAGCAGACGCTTTGACACTTAAGGAAGCGATAACGGCAATATGTTTTTGACATATCGGAGCGAACTGGGCGGAGCGAGCTAGTAGACATTGTAGTTATCCCTTACAAGACAGACATAGCAGGTATGCTGGTTTTAACTTTGGCGACTTAATCTAAAGCCTGTACCTATTCACTCTTGTACGGACCAAATATTGTAATTGGACCAAATAAAACAGGTTCGGATCTATCTGAGTTTTGAGTATTGACGTTCTATAATACTTGAAAAGCATTAACTTTATTCAGTTTTCAAACGAAAAAATCTAAATCCATTGTAAAAATAGCATATCTGCTTGGTCTCCAAACTCCAGAGGCTACACTTTTCTTGCTCCACTCTTAATGGAACTTCACACTGGTGGATTGGACCTATTGTGGTAACTTGAAATTTTCACTCTATATTATTAATATTCGTTACTAACGGGATCTTGCAAAGTCCCAACTCTTAAGTCTATTGAAATTTCTGTTTTTCCTAATAGAAACGATTGCCCATTTATAGCTATACCATTATAAAATTCGGACTGAATAGCGAGGAGCTCTGAAGTATCATAGCCGCTAGCAGATATTATTAGAGATATTAAAAACTAGTCTCCGCTTTCCGAGATAGCCGATAAAAATTGACAGTTACAGTCGTTTTTGGGCGAATAAAACCTAAAATTTTATTTTAATTCCCACTTGTCCCCAGTGGGGGCAACTGGGAATAACCCTTACCTTTTAGTTAGTCTAGCTAGGTTTTTTTCTGTACTCTTGTTTAGGCCATTGTATAATGCTTGTATTGTTTTTCTTATTCCAAACAATCCCGGCCATTTTTAAGCTGTTTATCAGATTTTTTGTTAAGAAAGGTATTTCATAAGGAGTCTATGGGGTTACTTCTCTTTCCCACAACTGGAACTTCTGTAGCTGTAACATCTTGGTTGAATTCCAATGAAACCTAATCCCGATTCAGTAATAGTTGTGTCATCTTTAAATACCTGCCGGGCTAGGATGCGCGCCGTGATAAAATCTTATCAATGATTTTAGACGACAAATGTATGGGCTTATCGCGTAAAATCGATAAAATAGTGCGATAGGCATACAAAACTGTTTCTACTGCTGCAGTTATATCGGCTATCTCAGAAGTCAGAGGAAGGCGAGGGTAGATGAAGAAAAGCATATTTACCTGAGCCACCCCCTCGTTCCTGACTTTCACCCAGATGTTGTAGAGATTGGCGGTGAATTCGTCCACTTGCAAGGCGTTCTGTAGCGTGTGTTCTAAGAACTCGTCGTCATGTGCCACCTAAATAGATTTTACTTTAAGAACTCTCTCAAATTATACTTTTAAGTAACGTTTTGAGCAGGACATCATTCGAGCTGCAAAGACCGCAAATTTAGGCCTCCACCTCGAATTTCGCGGGTTTTTTTGCGTATATTTAAATTAATCCGGCTTCCGAAAACAACGGCGCGACTCCACGCTGCCCGCAAACTATGAGGCTGAGGCCTAAGACACCCCTCGGACTAAACACTTTTTGTCGGCCGACAACTTGGTCGAACTGTTAATCAGTATTTACATGTATGGAAGTATTTACACATACATTACACAGATTTGGTATTGTTAGATTCCTTATACAAATAAGAAGCCGACCAAACTATCGGCACGCTAAAAAATCTACTAATAACACCAATTTTTTCTTTCGCTTTTTTTGTGTGTGTATAAATAAAAAAATTAAATAAATAAATATTATAGGGTAGTTGACACTGCCAGACAATTGAAGCTTTATGAGCTGTTAAAAACCTATGCTAGAACTCAGCTGGGCTGTATTTAAAGATCAATTTTTATGCTTATACAAATAGCATGCATTATTACAGCAGGAACAAGTTTTAGCATAGGCCCTTATTTATTAGCTATCTTAAATAAATATGATTATACTATCTTAAATAAACCTCACCTTATGCATCAGCTCGTTCAGTACGGGCTGCAGCTCCACAGCTTTGTTGAACTCCGTCTGTGGGAATGGTGACGGCAGCAGTACAAATGGGGCGATCTGAAAATTAAACTCTTAGGTTAGGTTAGAAAGTTGGTTATTTGGTTAGGGCAGAATTTTAGTTTAAAAAATGTTTAATTCTGATATAATTTGATCCTACTCTGTATTTTTTGGATAATGATGTTATTCATTGTGTGGATTTTCATGAAATTTATATTCAATACTAAAAACACCTTTAGTCTAAGATTTTTTTAAGGTATGTCATTGCCTTTAGTAGCATGAATACCTCTGCAAAATATTTATTATTGGAACACACTTCCCAACTTAAATAAATTGTTGTCTTCAACCATATGTATCACAGAATGAAACTTAATATTCCAACCCCTGTTATAATCAATCTCTTACTAAGATCTGTTATATTTAATTACAATCTTATGACTTCAAATCTAACCATACAAAGAACACAGAACTTCTGCTATTTAGCGGCGATTAATAAGGAAATTGGGCAAACAAGTACACTAAAAATTTCATTTAAATAGCTATAATTGTTACAATAGTTATACCTAATTGTGGTTCCCTGACGGGAGACACGTTAATAAATGTTATTTACAAAATAATTTAAAATATCAGACCAAAATAGGAAGAAAAAGAAACTTAACCAAGACCCTACCCTTTGACCAAGTCAAGTGTTTATTAGTGTTTTATTTGGCCTAAATTACCTTAATTTAAAGATTGGCCTTACCTGAATGGAGTCCTTATTGAATTGCTTCTTATCCCTCATTCCAACTCCATGCATCAAGGCCCAGTCTTTTGCTTTTTCAATAACATTCACCAAGACTTTGTGGTCCAGCGGCAAAGGAATACAAGTCGCTAAACGAGCTTGAGACATCGTTATCACAGCTCCAACAGCAACGAAATAAACACAAGCAACCTAAAGAGTTACTGCACGAACCAAACTAAATACGTTCGGCTTCCTTACTTGCGATTTATTTTGAAAATGAAAACCAAAGACGAAAACCCCGATTTTTGTGATTTTTACTGTATTCACTTGACAGCTGACTGACAGTGACAGCCATTCAGCTGACGTTTTTGTTTCTTAAATTATATTTAAAAAGCTGGCCAACTTAAACAACGAAACACTTCAAATACCGATTTCTAAATGTGCGTCTACCTTAACTTTACAAATTCAATAGCTATGGTTCAGACCAGGAAATTAAAAAGTTATAGTGTTGTAATAAGATTTATTTCCTCAAACCTATTTCAAATTACTATTTGAATACATCGAGCATTACGCTGCGCTGAAAGTCTATCGGGCTTCGGAAATAGTTTAATCAAAATGAGAAATCAGTAACAAAATACTATTAAATATGTGATGGCATTAAGCAGAATCGAATAGTCGATGGATGCAGCATTATTGTACCTATTCTTTTCAAATAAATACTTTGAGTTTGATTATCTTTCACGCGAAACTATTGTACTTAATGATCGTGTAATAAAAAAGAGTCAAATATCCAGTTTTTGTTTTATTTATTAGTTCAGATCACTCAGCTTTTACTGTAAACTTGACGAGCACCGAGGTAACTGAGCAGCTGTTATAATAACATCACAGCAGCAAGCAATCAGAAATCATGTAGTCTCGAAAACTACGTAATTGTCGAATCAAAAAAATTTGTAATCTCATTCATAATTTTATTTCAATATTTTCATAACGATATTTCAAATGATGCATAAAATTACCGGGCTCAATCAACATAATGCATCATCACTAGTTAGTTTTTTTTTCATCTGTCAATGTCAATTTTTCCCCATTTTTCCCGCAGAATTTTGTTTGAGAGGTCGGTTTTTCTGAAATCTGAATTTTCAATTTTGATTTTAGGCTTAGATTAATAAAGCCTAGATAGATAGTCAGTGCACGAAAGGTGAGGCAGTTTTTAGGGAGCCGGCACGGCTCACCCGTAAACGTCACATGAACCACAGATTAGAGAGTATGTCTAAAGACAGATAGGAAACGGCCCTAGTATTTGTTGAACGATAAACAAACTGGTACCGAGCTAGATTGTCCAGTAGGTGGCGCTGTAAACAATATGGCGTCTGCCGCCCACAGATTAAATATATACCTCTCATACTTTTTTTATGATCCGTTCCGTTTCATGTAATGTGTTTAAAAATAAAACTATTGAAGTATAAAATAAAACTTTATTGATGAAAATATATAACATGAAATATTTTGTTTACGAATATCAATAAGCAATAAAACTACTGGATTTTAAAAGATTACAGTTACTGTTGTGATAACAGTACATTGTTTTAGTTTTTACATTATGTACTCACGGATTGACATTTGTATGTAACTCATATAAAATATGTTGCGTTAAGACTTATAGTAAAATAGTTTAATGTTCTCCATAAATTCACACGTTCACTCTCACGTTGGTTCTGTCCACTCCACTGTAAGCAGGCCAGATCTACATGCCGTACAAATACACTTCCTTTTTTATGAAATCGAGACTTTTAAGTCGATTTATCTTATTGTTATTAGGTAGGTACTTTTAATTCAATAAATAAGTAAGTACATGATGCGTTTTGTTTTTGTTAATTATAAAATAATTAAAAACGTATTAAAAATTTCCCTACTTTCGGGAAAATCGCCTTCACTGTCTACACTCCCCAACAAAATTGACACTAATGACATAAGATTTTTGCCTCACTCTTGACGAAGCGTTTGTATGAAGACTATCCATCTAGGCTTTACTAATCTAAGATTTTAGGTTTGCTGATTAGAATTTTTCTTTTTGGCGTTGTTTGATTTTTCCAGATCGAATTCCGATATGAACTAAGTCTGTCGTGCGTGTTTCTTCAATTTTGTGGATTTTTCTTCAACTACCTCGTTGAATTGAAACCTGAAAATATTTTTGTCGCTTAACTCTTGTCTCGAGCTTATATTTATTAGTTTTGCACATTTTTTAATACATATAAATTATCCAATTTCGTGTTCATCATGGATTTTCTCATTTGTACGTTGTTTGAATTTGTAGGTAGTTTTTTTACTCATTTAAGATGGTTCCATTTATTATCACCCCCACATTTGACAAAGGCAAGGATCTGTGTCAAGGATTATTAAAAGATTGGTTTTATAAAATGTAAGTTGTCACTTGTCATCCAAATTGAAGCATAAAATATAGGTACGTACTACAAGCAAAAATATGGGATCACCACCTTGTTTTGTCCCGAGCAATTTACAAAATTGAATGACTTATTTATCTATCTATGGTATCGATTTAAAGTTAATATTACCTTTAAAATGGTACCATATTTATTTTCTATTACTAGTCATTTAGTATGATTGGTATGATCGCTCAAAACAAATAGAGTGATTAAATATTTTTGCTCGTGAGTATTGTTCAGTTATGTGTAATGTTGTTCTAAGTTTTGAGATTATTTGTTGTTGTTTTTGTAATCTCAGTTCTTGTATTTCGGTCATAAAATAATAAAAAAATTATATAAATTTCAATTGATTTATTCAATTTACACTAAAATTATGCACAAAAGAATTTACAAATTATTTTTATACAATGTACACTAAAAATCAGCCTTAGCTACAAACTAAATTAAATATCTCACAAAAATAAATGCATCTCAAACTAAAAGAACAAATCCTCCAATTAATTTTGAACCTCTTGTTATTGACATGAAGTTCAATATTAATTGGGGAGATTATTTTAAAGTAGATATGCTACAAAATAAAACTAAATGCTAAACTAAAATTAATAATTGTGAAAGAATCTAAAGCACCCTAAACACACACTGGGCTTAGTTTCGCACTGGGGACAGTAGATGTCAGTTTTCACCATACAGCGAATGCAGTAGTACGTCTTGAACGTCTTTCTGTTCCGCTTCTTGCCAGGCAGTTCTTCCGGGAGGTGAATCACTTCCCCAGTCTTTGTTTTCACCCTTCGTTGAATCCCCATCATCTTCTCCCATTCCTCATCTGAAGATGAGTCCCTGTGAAAAGAAAGAAATAATAAAATAATTATTTTCATGAAAAGGTACAATACAAGGACCAGCAATAGTTATTGCACTAGACTCAATTAAATAAAATCTATACTTATAATAAATCTGTAGAGAGGTCAATTCTGTACATGAAATATATTTTCAAAATAACTATCAGGGGGTGATTAGTGATCGATACTGATGCCAAAAATGCAATCAGTAAAATTTTTGTCTGTCTGTCTGTCTGTCTGTCTGTATGTTCCTTATAGAAACAAAAACTACTCGATGGATTTTAACGAAACTTGGTACAATTATTCTTCATACTCCTGGGCAGGTTATAGGATACTTAGGAATTCCCACGGGAACGGGAATTAGCGGGAAAATCCTTTTGTATGAAAAATCTAAACCGCTTAAGTTAGACGCTTGAAATTTGGCATGCAGGTACCTTAGTAAACTTAAAGCTTAGTTACAACAGGATATTGCAAAATTCCCACGGGAACGGGAGTTAGCGGGAAAAAACATTTATATGTAAAAATCTAAACCGCGTAAGATAGACTCTTGAAATTTGGCATGCAGGTACCTTAGTAAACTTAAAGCTTAGTTACAACAGGATATTGCAAAATTCCCACGGGAACGGGAGTTAGCGGGAAAAAAAAAATTATGAAAAAATCTGAACCGCGTAAGATAGATGAAGGGGGGGTAAAACGAGATCCACGCGTACGAAGTCGCGGGCGGCCGCTAGTAAATAAATAAAGTTAAATATGTTTAATAGAGAAAAATTATTACAGTCAATCTGGGTAATTAGCCATCAGTATAACTTTGGCACAAAATATAATTGTGATTTTAGTAGGTACTATGCTTTGATTTGCCATATTTCAAACAAGCTTTGTGAATATGTCAAAGATACAAAGCTTATTTGAAATAAATAAAACCAAAGTGAAAGAACAAAAACCTAAATTCGCAATTATATTTTGAGCTAATTTTTGGTAGCTGAACTAGTCACAAAATTTAAATATTAAAAATGTAGAGCTTGAATTGATTAAAATTGATTTAAATTAAATAGAATTTGATAAATAATTTCTTCATAAAATAAAAATAGAACAATTTTATATTGCTTACTAATAAAATAATTTTCAAAATCTATCAAAATATAAATGCATAATTTAATTTATCAGGCAAGATTCTGAATTTTCAAAAACATTCAGTAAATATGAAATAAGGGATGAATCTTTTTAAATGTAGAGCTATATAAAACAATAATAATAATTGTTTTCGTACTTACGTATCAATAGAAAGCGCAGAATTGTCAGAGGTATTGGTTGACTCCATAGTGTTACAAAATCACTTTTACTAACACTCAAAATAAAAGCACTTAACAACCGCAAAAGTTGGCCGTTCAGTCGTTGTCACTAACACTTAGCAAAGGCACAAAGTCGCTAGAGTCGTCTGGTCAGTTCGAGTATCTTATTTAGAATGAAACGTGCACCCTACCCAAAGTTTTGTAAGGGCTTCCATCCCCTCTACTTTCAACTCGGTAGCTACCTGAGTCAGGTGGTACATAGATAAAAACCTTTACCATACGAAACAAAAGAAAAGAAGTACACAAAAGAGTCGGCACTATTTAAATATTTGTTATCAATGGAGTTCTTGACCCTTTGTTTGTCTTATCTCTAAGCTGAAAGCTCGAAAAAGTAACACGTGATAAAAATTAATAGAAAAACAATTATTATTAGTAGTTTGTGGAATGGTTTATTGTGTTCTAAAATCACTGATATCAAGGGATTTTTTAGGAATGTAAGAAAATATGTTTTTGTCCAAATTCAGAATGAAGTGTTAGGAAGTTTGTTTGGTTGATTATCGCCGGTTTGCTTTAATCAATCCCAATCCAAATCCGTCCTTCAACTATCAAACTTGAATCTGTTGATTAAATATCCATAATAAAATTTTCGATGCTTTTACACTTTCATAATGTTCAAATAGTCTTATAAACAATATGAATATGTAAAAACTTCGAAAACGCTAGATATTTTGACCAAAAACCAAATTGAGACAGTTGTTTGACGAATTTGCATAAGGATTGATTTGGTGCAGTC